GCTGCAGCTTGCATTTTAAAATTGTGTGGTATTGAGCTATATTAGATTGTCTGCTGTTACATGCAAGCCCATTCTTTGCAGGCAGCGTTGATATCCTTTAACTAGATTTTTGCACTGCTGGCAGTCCTGGAAACACATACAAAATTAATGGAGCAGCTATTTTGTGTGTCTCCACATTGTGCTATATGCTAGTTTATTATGTGTGACTGTGTTTGAACATGAGTGTGTGCGTGTGTAAAGAGGCTATTGACCAGGCTTTCCTGAACCAATTATTCATTCTGGAGCTATAGTGTGGCCTGATGATCGAATGCTGTCTTTTTTTGTGGGAGTCGAGGGCAGGCAAGAGGATGTAAATCTTTCTTCCCTCAACAAAGAGTTGTGGTTTGTTCATTTTTAAGGCCTCACAAGTGGTGAAAACTGGTTAGGAAAAACAAGCTGATGAGTGCATCTGCCTTTTTTATTAAAAGAAACAGACAAAGGAATGCCCTTTGCCTTCAATAGAAATCTAAGACAATAACATCTGTTTTGATAAAAAAAAATCCTGGTATAATTTCGAGGAGAATATTAATCTCGTGGTGTTGGTCATAGCAAATGAATGGCTATAATGCATTCAACATCAGCATCTAATTTTGTTGGTCCTTTTGATAGAAAATAAGAGAACCGTTTTGTTCTATAGAGAAAAATGACTGGTCAGGGGCTTCTCAGAAACCACTCCTTTGCCTAAAGGTTAAACCTTTAAGCTGGCCTTTTCATGGTTTGTAGAGGGAGATCTTAGAGGGAGAAGAAAGCATAGGGACATATATATACCTAAAGACATTCAAAAGGTTAAAAAAACCCATAAAACCTGCTTGAATAATTGTGAGGACTGGGGGGAAGTGGAGATAGAAACATTTTAACAAAACCCACTTGCCTCAACTCTGACCGCCAAAGTAATACTTCAGAGCTTTGGTATATATATATCTCTAGTTCTGTGGTTAGTAATAATTGAAAACAAATCTCATAGCTTGTTGAATAAGGAGGAAGCATTTTCAAAAGGAGTAGAAGCCAGTAACAGATTCAGCAAAGACATAATGGCAGTCATTAATAGCTCTCCCTGTGTTCCATCACACACTCACATCATTCAGTACAGTTTAACACAATTGGATGCTCTTTGTTCTTCTTCGTGGGCTCTGTGAATGCACACAATTGGGTTATACTGCGCCTGCACAGGAACTCTTGGAAACTTCCGGAGTTTAAAGATATGTAATTAGTGGGATGTTCCCTCATGGAGTGCATACTCCGCCCGCTAAAGACCTCCTCAGTTCCCATAAGTCTGCCGCTGTCAGACATAAATTGAGACGACAAGTGACGGACAGAGGGGAGGGTAGGCGGGATGTGTGGATTCACAGAGGACCACTCAAAGAACCATGGTTACAGGTAGGTAACCTCTCTTATTCGTGGTCTCTGTGAATGCACACAATTGGGTGACTAGCAAGCTCACTTACCGGTTGGTGGGACGTCACTGAAGTAAAGAGGTTAGGACAGCTTGTCCAAAGGCTACATCACTCTTTGCTCGAATGTCCAGACAGTAATGGGAGATAAAGGTCAATGGAATAGACCAAGTGGAAGTGTGACATATATGTGAAATGTCAATGCCACGTTGAAAGGCAGTTGATGTTGAGACAGCTCTAGAAGAGTGTGCCCTAAGGCGTTCTGGGGCTGATTTGGCCGATAGTTCATAAGCCAGAGAAACTGCCTGTACAATCCACTTGGATAGAGTTTGTGAAGACACAGGTGAGCCCTTATGAGGGCCATGAAAACAGATAAAAAGTCTTGGTAATTTTCTGAAAGATTTCATTCTGTTGATATAGAAGGCTAGGGATCGTTGGACGTCGAGCATGTGGAGCATGCGCTCAGTATTCGTTTGGGGAGATGAAAATAGTGAAGGTAGAATCAATGGTTGGTCTTTACTGAGGCGAAGGTGAAGGTGCAGACGCATGCAATTGGTCTTTACTGAGTGGGGGTATCTCACAGTCCTTTACCTTTAGTCCTACTAGTTAGGGCTGTTGGGAGTCAAAGGCAAAAACATCAAGTCCAAAATTTCCCACTCCAAGAAAGAGAGAATTTTTTTTTAAAAAAAAATTGTCATATCAGCTCTTTCCTGCCTGAAATCTGAAAGGGTTTAGCCCAAACTTTTACTTTCCTCCCTCAGTGAAAATTTTGTACAGTGGACACTCTTAAGGCTCAAGGCCTTCTTAGGATGCTGATATAAAGTGGGCTGACGAATGGGGCTGGAGGAGGCAATTGGGTGGCAGCGGCAGCAGGAGGCGAAGGTGAAGGTGCAGACGCATGCAGCCGCCCTTTGTGGCTGCCCATTGACTGCAACTGCAGCCGCCCGATCACCTCCTCCAGCATCACTCGTGGGGCTCACATCAAGCTCACAACACCGCCTTGTCCCCTGCCCGAGGGGCAGCTGAGCGCAGCTGCTCCTTCGCCTCTTCCTCCACCTCTTCCTCCGGCTGCTGCAAGAGTCAAAATTGGGGGAGGGTCTTATACACGGAAAAATACGATATGTTCTACTGATGACATAGGCTTGAGAAAAGAAGACTGAGGGGAGATACTACAGTATAGTACTTTTCAAACACGTGAAAGATAGAACAAGATTTGTTCTCAGTTATCCCATAGTGTCGGACACATAATAATAGGCTCAAGCAACAGGAAGCCAGATTTAGGCTGAATACCAGGAAAAAAATGTCCTAACTGTTAGAGCAGTATGACAATGGAACCAGTGTGAGCACTCCAATGGATAGAACCCCACTGGAGGCATTCAGGAAAAAAAAATTGGACAACCGTCTGTCACATCTGCTTTGCATTTTGATTCCTGCATTGAGCAAGGGCTTGAACTCAGTTATACAGTACTAGGAGTCTATGATTGTGCCTTTTCAGTAATGTACCATTTTGGGCGGCCCTGTCTCAGTGCATCCAGCTCCATGGACCAATACAATGATGCCATTTTGCAATGTTAATTTTAGCTGCATTTGCTTCTTTTCTCTCTTTGCCCCTCTTCTTACATTGAGTCAGATTTTTCAGGGATAAAAAAGAATATTTTTGTAATGAATAAGATGGATGATTTGAGAGAAGATGGAAGGGGCAGTGCTATTTGATTTACTTTGCATTGATCAGCTGCTTTGTGTTGTGAAGGGTTCGTGATTTGTTCCAGAAATATGGGCTACCACTGGGACTGATCTATAGTTAGTTATCATTATAAGAGATGGAGAATGCTGCAGATGAGCTGCTGTTGTTCCTCATGCCTTGGCTAATGAGAGAGAGAGAGAGAGAAAGAAAGACTATTATAGTATATACAATTATACTGGAAGACACATTTTTCCAAAGGAGTGTCAGAGTTCCCACTTTATTGTCTGTTGAAAGTAAAGAGCAAAATTTGGAGAGTGGGGTTTGAGCCACCCTTAGTTACCGAACTTTGCAGGGACAAAAAAAAAACCACCCTTTGTCATTTCTCTCTTTGCTGGATGGCAAGAGAATATTAAAAGAAGTTGTTTGCCAGCAATCTAACCTTTAAAATCTCTGAATAGAACTGACTGGGGAAAAAAGTCATTGTGAGCCTTTCTACATGCCTGATTCCTTACAGGGCTCACAATTTGATATTTCTGCTATGTATTAGTCTGAGGAAATATTTGATCTTAACATAGAAGAATAGAGACAGAAGGTAATTTCTTCTGCGTGTGCAAACTCTACCTAGATTGATAATAAGTTTACAACGGATTTGTACCTTCTAATTTCATGTGTACCTTCTCCTAGGAAGCATCCTGGAGAATATGGTTTGGTAAGTTCCAGAGTTGCTTAAGGTGCAATGCACATTGGGCCTTCCTGCCTCAGTGCATACGTCCCTACCCAACCCTCTGCTAAGTGAGGGAGTTAATAGCAGTTTGGGGTGTCTGTCCTGAGTTCAACTAGCAAGTTGCTTGTAGCACAAGGTCTGGAACAACTAGGCAAACTTTCAGTCCCTCTCGGAGCTATGAATATTGCTAAATGCAGACGTTGACATGGCTTTTCTTTTGCAGGTAAAAATCAATTTTGTAAGAACATGCAGGGAATATGTTGAGGTTTCTTTTTGAAAGTGGATGCTGACAAGATGTTAAGGCTAACTTCCTTCCTTCCTTCCTTCCTTCCTTCCATCCATCCATCCATCCATCCATCCCTCCCTCCCTCCCTCCCAGTTGGCACTTAGTAATAGGTGAGCAAGGGGATCATTTGCAGTCAGTCTGAAAGAACACTTTACTGAGTGAGAAGCTGAAGTGATGCCTAGGGCTGTTCTTTGAGTAAAGTGAAGTGATTTTGAAACGTCCAGTCTTGTTTTAAGCTCTGTCCTCACTGCTGCCTCCATGGCACGTTCAAACATTATGAGCCAATAGTTGTGTCCTGTTTTCTCTCCAACTGATTGCATGGCGTATTTAGAGAAAGAGTTGTATAGTTAGTGCAAAGACTTCTTTGCAGAGACTGGTTGGCTTATTTTTCACTTCCTTGGTTTGACAACTCTGCATTTCTGAAAAATGCCTTCTCCTCAGGAGACATGCATGTTGACTGATTGGAATGGGTGGAGTTGTCCCATTAATTAACTGGCCCGACTTCCATTTTTCTTGAGAAGATCCAATGGGGAGATCCTTGGCATGTGTTGGGCAACGTTTCAAAACCAGCTGCTTAGCGTTCAAATAAAATTGTGCTGTGTCTCCAGAGTACAAAACATCTTCAGGGACCTTCTGCTCATTATTTAACATGGGCAGTGTACAGACTGAGGATTACCATTTTGCCTGCGAGGCACAGCGCCTCTGTGGAGCTGTAAAGGATGCAGGAAGGTCAACGAAGGGAAAGTATTTCTTTGTAGATTGTACTTGAGTTGCTTTGTAGCTGGAATTCAGGACAGGGATGTCTGGCAGAGAGCCTGCCTTTTGATGGGTAGAAACATTGCTCCCTTGTTGTTGTTATTCTTCTTCCAAGTGCTCATAGTCTGCTTTGCTTCCCCCTTTCTCTTACAGGGAGGAGTGAGTGGTGAATTGTATAGCCTTTTGAAACATTTCAAATAAATCCGGGCTTGGATTCGCGTAGATCGCGCATTGGAACAGATGGATAATGGAGATTGGGGATATATAGTAAGTATTCCAGTTACGCTGTGGGAACCTACTTTTCCTTGGGGATGTGTGTGTGTGTGTGTGTGTGTGTGTGTGTGTGTGAGAGAGAGAGAGAGAGAGAGAGAGATGGTTATGTGTAAATTCTACATGCAGTTAACATTATAAGGATATTGAGCTAAAGATTTTGCTAGTTAATTCCTTGCATTGCTTGTTCAGAGAGGCCAACATTTGGTGACCAGGGGCCTTATTGTGGCCCCTTAATATAGCAGTGGGGCTTCTGACATCTCTAATTTATTTTCAGAAAAATTGGATCTTTTAATAAAAAAATTTGCTCAGACGTATCCTTAGCCACTCTGAGTGGGGGGCATTTTTTCATGTTTTGAAGCTCCCTCCCCAATTCCCTGGGACCCACTCCCCCACAAACTCTATTTTTTTAAAAAATGGGGGGCTGCTAGACAGTTTGAGGTAGCCTCTCCCAATTTTTAAAACAAAAAAAATGGGGAGAGGTTGCGGGTGCAGCCCTCCAAGGACCAGGTTTGGTAGAGGTGACCTCCAGACTTCTGAGGCTGACCCCATTCCTGTGTTACGAGAAGAAGAATTGAGGGACTTCGTATTCATCCTGGTTGAAGAATTTATCCAGCAATAAATGTGTTAATCTCTGATGTGCTAAAAGGACTCTGTCGCTTTTGCTGTTATCCCACTTTCCTTTTGTTAAGATATATATAATAATAAATGTGTGTCATCAAGACAATTCTAACTTACGGCAAACCTTTTCAGGGTTTGCTGAGTAAAGAGTCCTCTGAAGTAGTTTGCCATTTTCTTCTTTTGGGGGCACCCTGGGACTGTGCAGCTTGCCCAAGGCTACAGAGGCTGTCTCTTTTGGGATGCACAGTGAGGAACTAAGCTCCCAACATCTGGCTGCATAGCCAGATACAGTGGTGCCTCGTTTGACGACGTTAATTCGTTCCAGCGAAATCCCTGTAGAGTGAAAACTTTGTCAAAACGAAATTAAAAAACCCATTGAAACGCATTGAAAACTGTTCAGTGCATTCCAGTGGGCTGAATACCTGCTCGTCCAGCGAAGATCCTCCATACGGTGGCCATTTTTTGTGCCTGTAAAGCGAGGAATCCATCCTAAAAAACATCAAGGGGGCATTTTCTTCAGCCGGCAGCCATTTTGAAACCCGACGATCAACTGTTTGCTGATCGTCGTAAAGCGAAAATCGGTTCCCGAAGCAGGGAACCGATCATTGCACAGTGAAAAACCCCCATTTAAAACATTGTTTTATGGTTGCAAAAGCGATCGCAGAAACATCGCCGTGAAGCGGATTTGTCGGGGTTTTGCGATCGCAAAAGCAATCGTAGAAACATTGTCATGAAGCGGATTTGTCGTTATACGGGATAATCGTCCAGCGGGGCACGACTGTACCTAATGTACTGAGCTAGTCATTCAGTTAAGTTTCATGCATATAATATGTTTGCTTGCTTGCTTGCCACTTTTCTCCTAAAGGATTCAAGGTGGTTTGAAGTATTAAACAAAGCTAAAATAGCAAATTATTACAATATGTAAAAAGCATAAAGCAGATATCATAACTCATTTCTAAGAGCAATATTAAAAGCTCAAATAAAGAACAACACAATAAAATATTCCCTTTACCAAATCCCCTTGGTCAATCAAAGGGAAGCTTGCCTGAAAAGAAAGGTATTCCTCTGCTTGCTAAAAGACAGCGAAGATGGGGCCAGGCTGGCCTCCTGTGAGAGGGAATTTCAGAGTCCGGGAGCAGCAACAGAGAAGACCAAATATACCTGTAAGGATGGTGAGATCAAGAGAAAGGCCTCTCCTGATGATTTAATACCCAGACAGGTTCATAAAGGGAAACGTGGTCTTTCAGATAGCTTGGACTCAAGCCGTTTAGGGCTTGAATTGTGCCTGGAAACATTCAGTCACACCTTGATCCACAAATTTGACTTTGTATGATGTCTGTTACATATAGCTTCTGCCCTAAAGTGAAGCTTTACAATAAGTACAATTGTACAGGGGTAGATTGATGCCAGTGTACAATAAGTACAATGAGTACACAGGCATCTATCTACTTACTCAGTTGTACTGGAAGAAGTCACTGATGTATGAACTACAGAGTTTATCCAGAGAATGAACCAGAAGAAAAAATGCTAATCCAGAATCAATGCAATTAATTCCTTACATTGCTGTTACTGGTTCCTCATTCCAGATGCTTTTCTAAAAACCCTACCGTGTTTCTCCAAAAATAAGACAGAGTCTTATATTACTTTTTGCTCCAAAAAAAAAAACAAAAAAAAAAAAAACAAAAAAAAACCAGTAGGGCTTATTTTCTGGAGATGTTTAATTTTTTTCATGTACAACATTCTACGTTTATTCAGATACAGTCATGTCATCTTCTGGTTGCTGTACAAGGGTGGAGGGCGGACTTTCACTTAACTAGGGCTTATTTTGGGGGTAGGGTTTATATTACAAGCATCCTGAAAAATCATACTAGGGCTTATTTTCAGGTTAGGTCTTTTTTTTTAGGGAAACATGGTAGATTTATTTTCCCCACAATTTCTGCTTTGGAACCATATTGGTTTTTTTTTCCTAATTAGCTTTTTGTTTTGAAGAGTTTTTTTCCTTGTTTGTTCTATGGCGCCTTAATTTTCTTCTAAAACGGATGCCACTAAGGTTTGATGTGCTGTGTTCTTTTTACTTTGTTTAGCTAAGCTGTTTTTGCTCAGTGTGTGTTGAGTGTACATATAGTAGAAAAGGCATTCTGCTTGAATTAAATTTATGCCGCCTGCTGAGGAAATGAAAGGCCACATGGGAAGGGGCTTTAGACAGCTTCTTGCAGTGTCTGTTGGAATGTGCTGAATCGCTGCTGTGCAGCAACTCCCTGTATGTGCTAGCCCACAAAAATGCAAAAGAAAATGTCATGCAGTGGTTCAGACAAAAATGTTGTGTGCATTCTTAGCTACCACGTGTATCTGATATACTTTGGAGCCTTTTTGCACAGTGGTTCAACGGCAGTACTGCAACCAGAATTCTACTCATGACCCAGGTTCCATCCGAGGTAGGCAGCTTCAGGTTCACTCAGACTTCCATACTGCTGTGGTCAGTAAACTGAGTACCCAACTCTTAGGGGGATGTGTAGCCTGCATAATTAAATCGTAAACCTCCAGAGAGTGTTTTAAGTACTATGGGGCAGTATATTAGCATCACTCTATGCTTTTGCTTGTGAAAATTGAACCTGGGTTAGCTTCAGGCAGCCTCCGGAGGGCACCTTGACTGTGTGTTTTAGAGGTGAGGAAGTTGTGGCTTTCCATATGTTTTGAACTTCTGTTCCCATGAGCCCCAGCCAGGAAGGGTTGCCTTGTGCGATTATGGAAGTTGATATCCCAAACATCTGGAAGGCCAGAGCTTCCTCACTTCTAGTTTATATAGCCAACTCTCCTGCGTATACCCGCTCACAGCTGAAGTTAAGCAGGTCAAGCCTGGTTTGCGGGGATGGAAAATCGTCAGGTGATAGTAGGGATCTCCAGGTAGAGTTAGGAGAGAATCCTGCCTGAACCCTGGATAGTCATTACCAATCAGTACTAAGTTGACAACACAATGACAGAGAGACTAATGATCTGACTCAGTGCAAGTCATATTCCTGGGTTATGTCTGACCTAAATCTTAAGTTTAGCCTTTGCACCGTCGTTGTTGTTTAGTCGTTCAGTCATGTCCTTTTCCAGGGAGTCCTCTCTTCTCATGAGATGGCCAAAGTATTGGAGCCTCAGCTTCAGGATCTGTCCTTCCATTGAGCACTCAGGTTAGATTTCCTTCAAAATGGATAGGTTTGTTCTCCTTGCAGTCCAGGGGACTCTCACTGTCTAGGTTTGTCATCGCTTTCCTTCCAAGAAGCAGGCGTCTTTTAATTTCGGGGCTGCTGTCTCCATCAGCAGTGATCGTGGAGCCCAAGAAAGTAAAATCTGTCACTGCCTCCATATCTTCCCCTTCTATTTGCCAGGAGGTGATAGGGCCAGTGGCCATGATCTTAGTTTTTTTGATGTTGAGCTTCAGACCGTTTTTTGCACTCTCCTCTTTCACCCTTATTACGAAGTTCCTTAATGCCTCCTCACTTTCTGCCATCAGAGTGGTATCATCTGCATATTGGAGGTTGTTGATCTTTCTTCCGGCAATCTTAATTCTGTTTTGGGATTCCTCCAGTCCAGCCTTTCGCAGGATGTTCTGCATATAAGTTAAATAAGCAGGGACACAATATACAGCCTTGTTGTACTCCTTTCCCAATTTTGAACCAATCAGTTGTTCATTATGCAGTTCTAACTGTTGCTTCCTGTCCCACGTATAGGTTTCTCAGGACTTGCCATAGTTTGCTGTGGTCCACTCAGTCAAAGGCTTTTGCGTAGTCAATGAAGCAGAAGTAGATGTCTTTCTGGAACTCTCTGGTTTTCTCCATAATCCAGTGCATGTTAGCAATTTGGTCTCTGGTTCCTCTGCCCCTTCAGAATCCAGCTTGTACTTCTGGGAGTTCTTGGTCCACATACTGCTGAAGCCTACCTTGGAGGATTTTGAGCATAACCTTGCTAGCATGTGAAATGAGTGCAATTGTACGGTAGTTGGAGCATTCTTTGGCACTGCCCTTCTTAGGGATTGGGATGTAGACTGATCTTTTCCAGTCCTCTGGCCACTGTTGAGTTTTCCAAACTTGCTGGCATATTGAATGTAGCACCTTAACAGCGTCATCTTTCAAGATTTTAAATAGTTCCACTGGAATGCCATCACCTCCACTGGCCTTGTTGTTAGACAAGCTTTCTAAGGCCCACTTGACTTCACTCTCCAGGATGTCTGGCTCAAGGTCAGCAACCCCATTATCTGGGTTGTCCGGGATATCCATATCTTTCTGGTATAATCCTCTGTGTATTCTTGCAACCTCTTCTTGATGACTTCTGCTTCTGTTAGGTCCCTACCATTTTTTGTCCTTTATCATTTCCATCTTTGCACAAAATGTTCCTCTAATATCTCCAATTTTACTTAACAGATCTCTGGTTTTTCCTTTTCTGTTATTTTCCTCTGTTTCTTTGCATTGTTCATTTAAGAAGGCCCTCTTGTCTCTCCTTGCTATTCTTTGAAAGTCTGCATTCAGTTTTCTGTAACTTTCCCTATCTCCCTTGCATTTCGTTTCCCTTCTCCTGTCTGCTATTTCTAAGGCCTCCTTGGCCAGCCACTTTGCTTTCTTGCATTTCCTTTTCTTTGGGATGGTTTTTGTTGCTGCCTCCTGTGCAATGTTACGGGCCTCCATCCATAGTTCTTCAGGCACTCTGTCCACCAAATCTAGTTCCTTAAATCTGTTCTTCACTTCCACTGTGCAAAGGCAGCCGTGGTTGATGACAAGCCTGGAGAGTTGTAGGGCTGGCTGGACCCCCACCCCTCCCTGCTGCCTCCTGCTTGCAGCTCACTGGCTTAGCAGTGAAAACCATATGGGTAGTGGATGGCTTGAAATAAAAATTGGAAGACGAGTGGATCGCTGCTTTTTAAAATCTTTTTATTCAGCACTGGGATTAAGGTGGGGAGGCCATTTGCCCTTCCCATTCTTTCTTCTTTTTGAGCAGGTGAGGGACAATGAGGTGAAGAGTGAGAAGGCAATTCCCCGCCCCAGCTAGAGCATTGATTGCACTGTCACCTCTGTGAGCCAGAGCCGTGCATGAGCTGCCCTGCCCTGTGATTTCCAAAGGAAATCTGGTGTGATCTAGACTCGGAGCCAGAGCAGTGTGCATTAAATTGGAAGCTGCACCCTGAATCCGTGGATACACCTGGTCACTTCATTACAAAACAGTTTGGATCCTTTGCAGGAGACGAATGCAGCAGTTCTGTTCCAGTGTGGATGAGAACGCAAGCATTAAGTGCAAGTTAAATATGGTTCTTCTTGATGGTGAATTATGCTTATCTTATTTACTAATTTATCCCTAGTGTTTTGTACAATTATGTCACCTGTTGAGTTATGCAGATGGAAGATGCTGTTATTTTTGAAATCACTGCTATTTTTTTTTTTACTGTGACTTACACTTGAGTGAGACATTTTTAATACCTGGCATCGAATTCAGGTCTTGAGGAGAGTCTTCCTTGCAGCACTGCAGTTTAACCACTGTGCCACAAGGCAAAAAAGAAAAAAAGGTTTCATGCTGGTTTATGGCAAATGATGAGACTGCAAAGGAGAAATAAAAATACTCTGTTTATCAGTAGATTGGCCCATTTCAGAAAGGGCATTAGAAATCTCAGTAGGTTCCAAAAATACAGGATTTATAAATTTAACCCTTATCTGAACCCTGCTGTACATTCCCCAGGGCACTGGAATTTCTTGGGGTACAAGAGGTGTCTATGCAAGATTTTCTTTTTATCTGCCTCAAGGAGTTACTGTATGAGATTTTCTCATGTGCTTTTGTAAAAGCTCTGAAATCTTCCTCCTTCCTTTTTCCAGATGACTGAACCAGTCACTCTTAATGTGGGTGGTCATTTGTATACAACGTCGCTCACCACTCTCACGAGGTATCCTGATTCCATGTTGGGAGCCATGTTCCGGGGAGACTTCCCCACGGCCAGAGATTCTCAGGGCAATTACTTCATTGACCGAGACGGACCACTTTTCCGTTATGTCCTTAACTTTTTACGGACATCAGAGCTGACGCTTCCTCTGGACTTCAAGGAATTTGATCTGCTTCGCAAAGAAGCAGATTTTTACCAGATTGAACCCTTAATACAGTGTCTTAATGACCCCAAACCCTTGTATCCTGTGGATACATTTGAGGAAGTAGTTGAGCTTTCCAGTACACGCAAGCTTTCAAAATATTCCAACCCAGTGGCGGTGATCATAACACAGCTAACCATCACGACCAAGGTCCATTCGCTGCTGGAAGGCATTTCCAACCATTTTACCAAGTGGAATAAGCATATGATGGACACCAGAGACTGTCAAGTGTCTTTTACCTTTGGGCCGTGCGATTACCACCAGGAGGTTTCCCTCAGAGTCCATCTGATGGAGTACATCACAAAGCAAGGCTTCACCATCCGAAACACAAGGGTCCACCACATGAGTGAACGAGCCAACGAAAACACGGTTGAACACAACTGGACTTTTTGTAGACTGGCACGGAAAACAGACGACTGATTTTTCCCTTCCCTTCCTTTTTGTTTACTCACTTCAGACACTAAGTAGCCACTTCTCAGAACCATGTATTAGAGATTGGAGTCTGGCTCTCCAATTAAAACAATATTGGAGGCACTCCCTTTATTTTTTTGTTATATGAGTATTTATTAATGATTCTTAGGACTGGAGAATGGATATGTGCTCTAGCCGCTCGTCTTCTGTCTTGTGACAAACGTATGCATGTGCCTGCTCAAAGTGTCAAGACACTTTTAAAAAAAAGATAAAGGATGACATGAAAATCCTTAACTCAGAATGCAAAATAATAATATTACTCCACTCCCCTACCCCAGGTTTTACAATAAGGTGTAAAGTATGAAAAATTGCTTCCTGGTTTAATCTCTTTAGTGCTATTACAGACCACTGTGAACAAAGGAGACACTCCCGTTCAGTATGAAGGTCTCCTACCCAAGCCTACAAGGAAATAGAATGAGGGAAGCTTCTGCACTCTGATTGGTTAAGGTGAATGTAGGGAAGAGAAGCCGAACCATGCAATCTAATCTAGTGTTCCTAAATCATTAAGTGAGCAGTATTATTACGATTTAGCTACCAACAAGTTACCTCTGACTCCAACCTCTGCCCTGGTTTTATCTTCAAGAGTATAGTATTGTACAGTTACAGCAACTGTTTCTTTCTATGCATTATAAATCAAGCCACCAAATATTTGCAGCTATGAAAAACACAATTTGAGAAGTATTTATATTGGATCCGGAATGCAAAAACATCCCTGGGTTAGAATTCTTTATTTTTTAATGCCTGGTGCAATATTATTCCCAAGTGTAATAATGCTTGCCAGCAAAAAGCTAATAAAAATGAAATGTGGAAATCACATCTGTAATTTTGTGGGTTTTTTGTTCTTTTTGTAAACAAATTATGTACTCTTAAGGAGGCGTGGAAGTAAAAGGAAATGAAGAAGATATTGCAAAGAACAACAACAGGGAAATTGCTAATTATAAATTCATTGTCTGGGTATTTTTTTTAAAAATCAGTCAAGCAAATGGTAAGGGTGGAAATTGAACAATAGGCTTCATAATACAATGTTGGTGGAACTTGGATTTCCTTTTCCTACACCTGCCTGTGGGTGCCAAAAATTGATCACTGGAGGGTTCTCAATCCCAACCTTCTGGCACTGAAGGTTGTGGGGCAGGGGAAACATCAGGAGGTTCAGTGATTTTGGAGAAAATGGTATGATCCAGCAGAAGTGTCCACCCTTAGATCTTGGCCCAAAGTCACAATGAACCTGCAGGCTTTAGAGAACCTAAGCTGTAATGGTGAAGACTGATGGAATATGAGCTTTGCCTTACAATGGCCTGCAGGCAGCCCATAAGACCAATGCAGACACAGAAGCAATTTTCCTAACTTTTCATCAAAGTGGCTACATTTACATTTGTAAATCTGTGGTTAGAAGTAGTTTGTTGACTTGTATATATCATTCTTAATATTAATAAATAGGCATGTGCATGAGTGTCTGCAACCTATAACATGTAATCTATAACATATTTGGGTTTATTAAAGAAGCCTTCTTCTATGAAAGAAGGCTGACCGCCAAAGAATTGATGCTTTTGAATTGTGGTGCTGGAGGAGACTCTTGTGAGTCCCCTGGACTGCAAAGAGAACAAGTCTATCCATTTTGAAGGAAATCAACTCAGAGTGCTCCCTGGAAGGACAGAACCTGAAACTGAGGCTTCAATACTTTGCCTGTCTGATGAGAAGAGAAGACTCCCTGGAAAAGACCTTGATGTTAGGAAAGTGTGAGGGCAAGAGGAGAAGAGGATGACAGAGGATGAGATGGTTGGACAGTGTCATTGAACCTTCCAACATGAATTTGACCCAACTCCGGGAGGCAGTAGAAGACAGGAGGGCCTGGCGTGCTCTCGTCCATGGGGTCACAAAGAGTCGGCTAAACAACAAACTTTTGGGGTTAATAAGGGCAAGTTTTTAAGAAAACTGATTTTATTTTTAACCGACAAGCTACTTTCTTAAATGAAGGCTCAAGTGACAAACTAGTTTTAAAAATACATTTCAAAGACCACCTTTGTGTATCCAGTCAAAATTACCATCCTTGCACTTCTGACATTTTGATGGGGGACAGCAAGCTGCTCACTGGAGGGGAAGGGGCAAGGAAAGACAATTATACTCCCCACCCCTTTCAAAGACCCAGTGGTGTGAGAGGCCAGCCTGGACAGTTGTATTGTTACCTTATTCAGTACCCCGCAGTCCCTCTGATGCACGATGCTGGGAAAGAAATAGATGCTGCTGCAGCTTCCTCTCTCTGAGGACCAGGCTCGTCATTTAAAATGGTGTGCAGTCGCTCTTTGTAGTCCTAGCATCACAGTGTGATGAGCTCTTCTGTGCATCCAGGCAGTATGCCTCATCTGGAAGAGCTTATCACTCAGGCCATTTTCATAGGATCCAAGATCTTTTTGAATGTTTTAGGAGATGGCGACACACATGATGGGGTGACTACATTGACATATGATGCAGGGAATGGCATGAGATTGGTGTGTGTATGTGTGTGGCGTTCTTTTTTCTTGACCACATGACATAAAAGCCATGAGATTGGTGTGTGTGTGTGTGTGTGTGTGTGTGTGTCTTTCTTTCTTTTTTCTTGACCACATGACATAAAAGCCAATGCAAATCAGCTCAGAACCCCTCACACACACACACTAATCCTTAGTTTTTTCTTCCATTGCTGGGACTTTTACATCAGATACTTTTTCATTGGTTCAACTGGTATGGTCACAAACAAATGAAAAATAGTGTGTGCAGGTGTGTTCGTGATTAGTGTGGCAGCATAAATGTACCAGGAGATCTGGATGTTTGCAAATAATCCAATTTTTTAAAAAGCTTGGTGCCAGCACGGTTGTGCTAGGGCACCTAGGCATGGGGGGGGGGAGAGAGAGAATTGCCACTGAACTCTTATTTACTAGGCATTGGGTGGGGGGGGGAGAGAGAATTGCCACTGAACTCTTATTTACAGCTTATTAAGATAGTTCCATAGCTGTGCCTCTTGCAAATCAGGAAAACTACAGGAGTCACATTAACAAGCTGTAAACAAGGCTGTGTGCCAATTTCCTCCTCTTTCTCCATGTGGCCATTTAATGAAAATTTACCTGAAGAAACCCAGCTTCCCAAATGTGACTTCACAACAAGTGAATTCATTTTTCTCACAGTGCAGTCACACCCTCAGTTGAGGATTGCAGAATTTGTGATGATCTTGCTGAAGATTTGGGGGAATTCTGCCCTGGGATCACATCATATAATCATATAAAACTGGAAGGGATCCCAAGAATCATTGAGTCCAAGTAGGAAATAGACAGCTAAAATATCTCTTGACAGATGGCCGTCCCATCTCTGCTTTAAAACCTCCAGTGAAGGAAAGGCCACCCTACTCCAAGACAATCCATTCTAGAGACAGCCCCTTCATATCTGAGCTTGATCAAACACTTACTGTACTATATGCTGTTGCCATGAATAAGATTTAAATTAAAAATTGGCATGCTCTTTTTACAGTCTGTGCAGTTAGGGTTATTGCAGGAATCCCAAGATGGCTGTAGTGGTTGAATCTAGCACTGATAGGTAATATAGCCTCCAGTGAAGGAAAGGCCACCCTACTCCAAGACAGTCCATTCTAGAGACAGCCCCTTCATATCTGAGTTTGATCAAACAATTACTGTACTATATGCTGTTGCCATGAATAAGATTTAAATTAAAAATTGGCATGCAGCTCAAGATGCTCTTTTTACAGTCTGTGCAGTTAGGGTTATTGCAGGAATCCCAAGATGGCTGTAGTGGTTGAATCTAGCACTGATAGGTAATATACGGAATTGCTAAAGTGAAACAGCGTATGCCACCTTCGCTTCCCATAAATGCCTGGTTCTTTCAAATTGGTTTGTGGAAGAATTAACTGATGCCCTACCTGTTATGAGTAGCTGGTTATGAATATTAAATGTAAACTGCTCACAGCATGTCCTCGGCACACTTACCTAGAAGCAGGCCCCACTGAACTTAGTAGAATTTGCTTCCACGTAAGTGTCTGAAGTCAAAATGTGGAAGAATGATTGCGGGATACCAGCAGGCGAAATGTAAAATTTTGGAGACAAAGTCTTCTGCAGAATTTTATCTGAACAACCAGGTACGACATAAACGGTACACAGAGATGCCGAATTGTTCCAATTCCAGGTCCACTGGAATCGACTCCCACCCTTCTGTTAGCGTGAGGTTGTAAAGGATCCCAATGCAAATAACAAAAGCTGTTCTTTCCCAACATCACCACCTCCCTTTTTGATGGCTGTACTAGTACCTCATCTAAAACAATACGGACGAACACTGTAGTAGAATATAATTTTATTTGCAGTGGTTTACTGTATGAATGACAAAAGTCTAAAAATTGAGTGTCAGCATTTTAAAGTCAAATCATTAATTTTGTCCTGAATGTACCTCCATCGTCTCTTCGCCTTTCACAAAAACATCATTCTGGAGAATTGTACAAGATAGTGTTTTTTGTTTTTTTTTACAGAAAGAGCGTTTGAAACATAACTTGAGTTTCCTTACAATAAGTTGGGCAGATATAGTGTGGCAGCCAAGCTGGGAGTACATCCTGTCTTCATTACTTTTTGCCATGATGAAATGGATCACATAGCCTAGCCTAGCCACTTTTCTCCCTGCCTCAGACAGGGAAAACAGTGGCTTTAGATTACAAAAATCACATCCATTACATTTTTGTTATGCCCATCCTCCCTAATTTTAGGTTAGCGTACATGGTAGTCCTGCTTCCCCATGGTTCATCCTTAAGAGCAATCGAATGAGGTAATTAGGTCAAGAGATAGTAATTGCACAGGAATGATCCAGTGTGCAATATTTCTTAAATTTACATTCAAGATTGTCACGTTAACCCCCATCCAAGCAGATGGGATATTTTTATTCTCTACAGGCACGTTTTGTTGAAAAATGCACACAAAAAAACTAGACCTGCAAGTGTAGATGTAACTCCCAGCTTCTCTCATCCTTGCAGGCAAAGACAACGATTGCAGACGTTTTTGCCTTGTGATATAAATTGCATGTAACATGATCTGTTTACTCACAACTACATTCTCTCCTGCTTTGTTGTATGATCTTTTAAGAATAAAAAGCACTTGTTTCCTACTTTTACAATAGCCAGACAGGATATCTGTGCTTGCTGTGCTTTGCATTGTACACTGCCTCGACTTACGGAAGTCTTGACTTGCAGCCAATTCGAGTTACGACCAGCTCCGGTCGCAACATTTTGCTTTGACTTGTGACCGGCACTTTGAGGTATGACTGGGGAAAAAAAGGATCCCTCCCTCCTTTCCTGCCCTTTTTTTAACCTTAGAGGTCACCTTAAGTTTTTAAAAAAAGTCTCCCCCTGGTGGATGGATTAACAAGTGCCTTGAGATACAACAACAACAAAAATACACAGTCTGAATGGATTAATCACACTTCAATGTATTCCTATGCGAAATTGTACTTTGAATTACGACCAACTTGAGTTACGACTACCATCCTGGAACGAATTAAGCTTGCAACTCAAGGCACCACTGTAAAGGGAAAGGACATTGGATTTTTAAGTGAACTGCTGCAGAGGCACTGTGTGCAAATTGGCAAAAAAATTCTGACATTAAAAACAAAAGGCACTTCTTGGCTGAAATGCTGTTGCTTAGTGTTGTTAAGTGACATTAAAGAAGGCCCACTGAATCAGTGGGTATTTGGAAACTCCCGTGTTTGGAATCCTGTGTAGCTTTCATGGATTCAAATAGCCTTTCTCTAGTTGTGACTTACTAAGACTAAGTAACAAGATTTCAGCCCTTGTCTGTCTCGCTTTTGTTCTGGAGGTGAAGAATTGTGTTGGTCTTCGAAGTTTTTCATTTCAACATGCATCTATGACAACAAAGCATTTAGCAAGTATTCCTCACATCCCTATGTACAAAGTAGGCATTTTATTACACTGTCACTTGAAGAATGACCCCAAACTTCAGCCATTTGCCGTGTACATTCTTTCCCTTCCCTGCAAAGAACAGCTGGGATAAATATTGTCTCAACAAATCTATTGCAGTCTGCTGTTGTCCCAGCCAATGTAATGTATCAAGGCAACCATGTCCCATGCTCTTTTCCATGAGCCATTATGTCAAGAAGCAAAAATAGCCTGTGGTCATCTGTCCGTTGGCTCCATTTTGGGGAAAGAGATACACTGGAACTTCTAAGTGGGCTCGGGACTCATAAGACCTGCTAACCTTGACCCCAGCTTTTCTGCAAATATATATTGGTCCAAATATACCCCAAATTTATTGGACTGCCATTTTTTAAAAAAAAATATATGCCAGGGTTAAAAGTGGACAAATGCACACACACCTTTTTCCCTGTTAACATCCCAGTGGTAATTGTACCAACACAAAATCTGCTTATAAGGCAAAAATGTAGAGATCCATTCCTCTAATGTTGACCGTCAACACCCACGTTAACGCTACGGCTGTTGGGACTTGCAGCCTGACACATTAAGAGGGTCACAGCTTCCCCATTGGTGCTGGTAGAGCAGTGGTTCCCAACCTTAAGTAACCTAGGTGTTCTTGGACTGCAACTCCCAGAAACTCCAGCGAGCACAGCCAGAGGTGAAGGCTTCTAGGAGATGCAGTCCACGAACACCTGGATTAGACCCAAGGTTAGGAACCACTGAGGTAGAGGATCACACCTGACCCCTGTTCTGAAAAGAACCCTGCAGCAGCAATTCCGATGGATGAGGCTGAATCTATGTCATCTGAAACTGGCTGATGCAAACATAAAATTGGGTCTGTTTTGTGTGGACAGAAGGTCCACACAGCTGTTAGTATTAGGTAATTGCCAAATCGTCTCAGTGGGATGGCAGAACATGCAAGACTGCAAAGCAGTCTGCATCATATCTTTGTGCAAGTTGTATTACTGACAACTAGAAGTGTTGTTTCTCACTGCAGCCTTCGTTTCACTTCTTGAAAAAAAATTATAGTTTTGATAGGGCATTCTGGAAAAGAGGCTTCAAATAAGTCTTGAAGATCTGGTTCCCCTGTTGGGAGATAGAAAAGGAAAGATGACATCAGGCATGCGGGGTTCAATTCCCCACTGTACCTCCTATCAGCAGAGCACACATGCACACAAGTGTGACATGCCCCCCTGCGAGCACGACATGCCCCAGTGCCCCCCACGCATGTAGCTTGCTCCCCCCATCGGTCCGCAGCCCCAAAACGGTTGGGGACCGCTGTCCTAACACATGCACCTGAAGAGACGAGGGATGCACAACCTGTAAAATATGGATTTTTTGTTAGATAAAAGGACAAAGACACACTGGCTAGATAGCTCAGTGAGTTTGGTATCTCGCTGCGAAGCCAGACATTGAGAGTTCAATTCCCCACTCTGCCTCCTATCAGCAGAGCCAGCCTGTATAGCTTTGGGCAAGCTCCACAGCACCAGGATGCCCCCAGAAGCAGCGAATGGAAAACCACTTCTGAGTACTCGCTATCTATATAATTCTGGAAAGGGTCACCAAAAGTCAGAATGGACTTAAAGGGACACTATTATTTATTATTGTTATTAAGGGAACAGAGGTTGTAGGTTTACATAACCAGCCTCCCACCTTTAGTGAGGGAATGTCGCAGTCCCACTTCAGAAATTTCCCGTCGCAGTGATCATATCAGTCCTCAATCTTCAGCCTACCCATTGCTTAGGACTTTTGTGTCAAGCCCCTAAGACAGGTTGATGGACTGCAACTCCCATTATCCCCCACCAGGTAGCTGGATGTGATGTAGGCTGCAGTCCAGCAACATCTGGAAAGATGTATGTTCCCCACGCTTGGCTTAAGCCTTATAATTCAACAGGGCTTTGTCTGATATAATCTTCCTCACCAGAAAACACTCAAGAAAGAGAAGTATGTTTGTCACACATATGAAAATGTGTATACACACCATGCACATTATAAAAGGCAAGTGCTTAGTGAAATCTGCAAACCCACCCTCTAATAGCCCCTAATTTTAGAAAGTTTCAGTTGTAAGGGACAGCTACAGTATTTTGTGAAATTAATTACACCCATACTTGCATCACCAACACTGTAGTGGTGGTACCATCCCCCACAACATGCTGAGGTCTTAAATCTAGATAATGCTGGCAAAGCTGAGCATTATTAATTTATGAAAATGACATCCTGCATTCAAAGGGAGATATACTCCATTAATGTATAGCCATTAATGTATATCATATGCGACTTGATGGCACACAACAACTTACACCCATACTTGCATCACCAACACTGTAGTGGTGGTACCATCCCCCACAACATGCTGAGGTCTTAAATCTAGATAATGCTGGCAAAGCTGAGCATTATTAATTTATGAAAATGACATCCTGCATTCAAAGGGAGATATACTCCATTAATGTATAGCCATTAATGTATATCATATGCGACTTGATGGCACACAACAACGTGTGTTGTTCAACAACAAACTACAATTCACCATACCTATGTTTTTGTGTACTTTGATCTATAATAATCAAAACACTTCAAACAATCTACAATTCACCATACCTATGGTTTTGTGCACTTTGATCTATAATAATCAAAACACTTCAAAGTTCTGCATTATTCTTATCACAACGAGGCATCAAATAAGGCTAAGCTACATGATTTATACAAGTTTAACAAAAACGTGCATCCTAAACAATTTCTTTTGTTTCCACTCAGCATGAACAGTAGTTGCTGCTTTGGTCTTGCACAGTGCTGACAACTAATTCATGTTAATATGGGTTGCCCCCTTCCTTCTAGAAGCAAAAGTGCGGCTTTCTGTTGATTTTGACAGATACTGTTCTCACCTGCTGATTGGTTGGTGACTTCTTGGCCCATTCATACAGCCGCTCATATACCCGGCCATCATAGCATCCAAGGGCGGAATTCAAATTGCCATCAGAGAAGTCAAACGCGTCCACCAGTGGCACAGCATCTCTCCTGGAAGAGTAAAGGTAACACTTTATAGCCTTGCTTTCCCAAGCACACAATGTGAAGGACTACAAATCTAACTACAGTGGTGCCTCGCATGACGACGTTAACTTGTTCCGCGAAAATTGCTGTAAAACGAAAATGTCATGCGATTTTAAAAGGGCCCATAGAAACGCATTAAAACCCAATTAATGCATTCCTAGGGGCTTCAAACTCACCGTCCAGCGAAGATCCTCCACAGTGCAGCTATTTTCGCTGCCTGTGCAGCGAGGAGTAGCGGGTGGCCTTTTTTTTTACTCGGTGGCCATTTTGAAACTTTTCTTTTACCTGGCGGCCATTTTGAAACCGACGATCAGCTGTGCGAAAATCATTGCTTTGCACTGATCGGTTACCGAAACGGGACCGATCATCGCAAAGCGAAATTCCCCCATAGGGAACATTGACGTAAAGCGATTTCATCGTCAAAAGGAGCGCTCGTAATGCGAGCCACCACTGTATATAGATTATATGAGAACAGACACGTACGAACAGCAGGAGTTTTTGCTTAGAAATATGAGGCAAATGTACAGTTCATAAGCAAAAAACAATAATCACCTGGTGGTGAAAAATAACAAGTGGGCGAGTGAATAGATTTCCCAATAGATTGGGTGGAGACCACTAGAGGAAAAGACCTGCTTTACATCCTAGCAGATCCTGGCACTGAAAGAGAAAAGCTGGAGAGCCCACAGCATTCACTGATTATGTAATATTTAGAGTGGAACAGAGAAGAAAGGGCCCCATTAGTTATGTAAGATCAGGAATATGTAGACACCTTAAGGCAGGGCTAGTGAACCTTTGGCACTCCAGATGTTTTGGACTACAACCTCCAGAATCCCCTGCCTGTATTTCAAATGATAAAGGACTGTGGGAGTTGTAGTCTAAAACATCTGGAGTGCTACAGGTTGGCCACCCATACCTTAAGGGTGCCTCACTTGGATGCTCTTTGCCCCCACACTGTCAATTTCATACAGAAATAAGAGAAGTGATAAAAGTGGGACCAATACAAAGAGTAATAACAGAGGAAGAAAGAGAATGTATTGCTGCCCTTCCAAACTTTGATCTCCCCCCCCTTTTTTTTTGGTTGCAGTTCCATATTGGTTAGGGAGCAAAACAATTTTGATTTCTTTATTGTTCGCACCAAAGTTCTGTAATTATTGTGCGGTCATTCTGGAACCATTTATTCTGGATTTAGGGGGGGAAAGAGGAGGAACAAGGACTGTCACAGTCCTCAATCCCAACTTTGGTTTGGCCACTGAAAAAATGATGCTTTCTTAAAACGAAATTCATCTAGTCCAGTGGTCCCCAACCTTGGATCTCCAGATGTTCTCGGACTGCAACTCCCAGAAATCCTGATCAGCACTGCTTCTGGGTGAAGGCTTCTGGGAGTGTCAGTCCAAGAACATCTGGGAATCCAAGGTTGGGAACCACTGATCTAGTCTATCTTTGCATCCTTGAGCAAGACACATGGTTTAAAGAGGTCAGTCCAGTGAAGAATTCTGAGCCCAAGATCTAGTTCCATGTCCAGTAGGAATGATGACAAAATAACAGAATATACACAGAGCATTCAGTAGGAAAAGGAAGAACTAGGAAACGTCTAGACAAAGGGCAGGACAATCTGAAACCATGGTTCACAAGCATTATGACAGCATTCTGTGGCTCTACTCAACATTTTGCCGCTGTACAAACAGAATGAAAAATCAGGACGTCTTCCTAAGTATATGGAAACACATGATAGGAAACAGGACACAGTGAGAATGTTATCCTCCTTTGCCTGGAATTAATGTAGAATTTTGCCGCTGTACAAACAGAATGAAAAATCAGGAAGTCTTCCAAAGTATACGGAAACACATGATAGGACACAGTGAGAATGTTATCCTCCTTTGCCTGGAATTAATGTAGATGATTTCGAAAAAAGACACCACATGCACTACCTGACATTAAAAAATTCCCAATTAAAAAAAATACTAAAATGAGATCTTATCTTTGGACTACTGTACTTGGCTATCAACTAATATAGAGTACAGATTGTCCGTTATTTTAAAATGTTTTATGTGTGTGTTTTCTTTATTGCCTCCATACTTATGGTGTCTAATCGAACATTCTTCAAAAGCCACCAGATTTTAAAGGTTCCAACACTATGGTGTCTAATCGGACATTCTTCAAAGCCACCAGATTTTAAAGGTTCCAACACAGTTGTTTCTCTCTGAGATGTTCTTCTTCTTTTTTTAAAAGCTTATGTTATTTGAGTTTCTGCCATGTAACATTTCTGGTTAAGTTGTCGTGCTTTGTTTCCTGAAGCCAAAAAATTTTCATGAATACCTTTCTAATCAAAGACAGAATGTCAGATTTATGGTGAATAGAGCAGATGGTCTTTTCAGCTGGTGCCAGGGGTGAAGTATGGGGCACCTAGCTAAATGGATGAATCTTGACTTTCAATAAGAAAGTTTGAAAGAGAGGAACAAAGCAAAACAGGAGACAACGAAGAAATTATTAAAGCTTTAGATTCACCGATGAATGTTATAATTAGGACAAAATTTCCTAACAAAACCAGTAAGGGAAAACCAGTGAAATTGCAAGAAAGGTTCCATTGATCCAGAGGCCATAAATATTGGTAAAAGACTTTGAAAAATAACTTTTTTCCTAATTGTTTCATTTTCTTGCAGATTTGCTTTTGGAGAGAGAAGGCTGTGCTTCACTTCTCTTTGTTCAGACTCTCTTCTGAACTGCTCTTCTTATTTTGAGCAGAGAAAGTTTACTAATTTTCTCTTGGTTCTTTGATTTTGGGACCTAATTTGCACAAAAAGATCCTCTGTACTTCAAAAGATACAGATGTTTTGTGCCTTCTTTCCAAGAATCTTTGGCTTGCAGTCCTGCACAGCTTTTTCTTAGGATATACTCAGGACAGACCTGATGATTGTTTTGTTATTATGGGGTACTGGGGGTTTTAAGTTTCAAGTTAAGCTGTAATCACTTTTACAACATTCATCTCTTATTTTGCTATTGCCTCATAGGAGTCATAATGTAACTGCTTCATCTGTTATGTTTTAAATATTATTTCTAATTTGACTTCTAAGGCAACAAATTGTTTTTTCACTGTTTTCATAAACATTTATCACTTTTCAACATAATGTTTATCATTTCAATATATTTTAAACTGAATTTATTTTTAATAAGCCCTTTTTCGGTAAGATCTAAGGAGTTTATGGATTCATAACCCAGAAAACTACTGGATCAAGACTGTCCTTTTGTGCTCTGGGGGAAAGGGACACCTTATCTTACATCACAAATAGATTATGTGTGTGTTTCAATTTCAGTGAAGCAGTAGAAACCCAGACGATAACATTTTCAATAAAGGAAAATAACATTTTTTTCCCTAATGCTTTTATATTTGATGTTGCTTTGTAACACTGAAGAGATGTTCCTTCTTGGAACGGATTTGATAAAGCATTAAAATTAACATTTCTAGCTCATTTGAAAAGCCCACAGAACCCATTTTGAATTACGATCACTCAGCACTGATGTAGGCATTCTGAGCATTAAAGTGAGATGCCGTGGCTTCTTGTCCCTCTGAAAATCTTTGAGCCAGGATGGGGGGGAAAAGAAACCCCTTACTGGATGCTTGATTTTATGAAAAACAGCCAGAATCTGCATACACCACATGAAGCATTGTTTGTGCACTATATTGACTAAAAAAATAAACGGCCATGGTTGTGTAAGACCGGTGAGAGCAAGGTGCCTCTCACAGGCGTGTGGTCCCTCCTACCTACTGCCGATAAAGAGAACCAAACCACCCGCCAATTCCCCCACCCAGGAAGAAAAGACCACCTGGACCTGACCCGGGGAGGTTAGAGGAGGATTTGAAAGAATTAACGGTCAAAGAGACCTGGACTGCTTTGGCGGGAATGGAACAAAAAGTGTGGGTAGTAGTGGAGGCGGGACTTGCGGATATAAAAGGCGGTGAAGGAGGGCTTTCCCTCAGGCAGGGAGTGGATGGAAGATCCACGGGCTGGAAAGGTGGAGAAGCTAAGAGTTCCTAAAGAAGAAGCTGAAGCCAGAAGGAGGCGAGAGAACACCCCCAAACCGTCATACTGAGGTGAAAGGGAGACTAAGGAGTGGAGGAGGAAACTGAGTGAAGAAAAGGAGACGGTTGAGGAAGAAAGGAGGGAGAGATTAGAATGGAGAATTTGGGAGATGCAGCAGATGGAACGACAGGAGGACTCTGGCAGACGATCAATCCCACCCAAGAGCTTGCCTGGGGGGACAACTGAGACGAGGGTACAATCCCCTTATTGGAGGGGGGAGAGCGGACTGTTATTAAACACGGGTGCATCTCTGGACTGGCTGGGACCCTGGAACGTTCAGGAGGGTAACCCATTCAAAACTGATGAGTGGAAACCCCTGTCAGACCCATTGTTTTACAGGGAGAAGGTTTGGAACGCGTTTGCGGACACTGGATTTTTGTTAAATAATGCAATAAGTGTTGCGCCCATTTCGAAACCCCAGGCAAGTCTGGTGATTTATTCGGGGCAAGTCAGGAGCCAGGAAGCGAACCATCACAGGTTGCTATATAAAAGCAAAAAGAACAGCTTTGAACCTAAGAACTCTGAAGAACAGGCCAAGCTGAATTTTACTAAATCAGATGCAGACATGGAAAAAGTGGTCATGCTGGCCTGTGGATTCTGGGAGCTGTAGTGGAGAGGGGGGGGAGCAATATTTTCCAACTCTGGAACTCAGACCATTCGTTCAGCAGGGAAGAAGAACACCTCTTTTGCCCCTTTGAACTCACGGAAAGAAAAGCAGAATATAAGTGTAACAAATAAGCAAAATCAGGTAGTGTCTGCTTAGAAGCCCGAAATGCAACTGGAAAACAAAGTAGACACAAGTGGGCCTGAGGGACAGATAGGCTGGCCTGGGCAAGGCAGCTTACACTCTTAGAAGCTTTGGAGCTCTTGTGAAGGGGGCCACTGTCGAGAGTCTCAGCCACCACTGGAACCCCCAGAATCAGGAATGGAAGCACTCACTGCTTTACATATTTGGCCTGTAGCTTCTAGATGGCTAGTGGCTCCCAGCCAAGAGCCCTGCTTGCTGGCAGAGGCTGGGAGCTGTAGTTCAAACTATTCCAAGGCCTGCTTATTTTGGGCAGACACTGCCAACTGGAACAGATTGCTTAGCATGCTCACACAATTGCCAGAATGTCACACAATTTTCCAGGAACAAAAACCTGTGTCTGGCAAGGAGCTCAGTTGCACGCAAGGTTCATCTCTGTGACAAAAGATACTATTGTATATCTGGAGATACAGTGGTGCCTCGCATTACGACGTTAATTCGTTCCAGCGAAATCGCTGCAGAACGAAAACGTCATAATGCAAAAATAAAAAACCCATTGAAACGCACTGAAACCCCTTCATTGCGTTCCAATGGGCTGGAAATCACCGTCCAGCGAAGATCCTCCATAGGGTGGCCATTTTCGGTGCCTGTGTAGCGAGGAATCCGTCCCAGAAAACAACGGGGAACCATTTTATTTACAGGCCGGCCATTTTGAAACTGCCCATCAGCTGTCCGAAAATCGTCATTTTATGAAGAATCGGTTCCCGAAGCAGGGAACCGATCATCGCAAAGTGAAAAACCCCTATTCAGACCATCGTTTTGCAATCACAATTGCGATCGCAAAAAGATTGTCGTAATGCGGTTTCGTCATAATGCGGGGCAATCGTAAAGCGAGGCACGACTGTACAACCACTCTTGGACCCTTGTAACTGATGGTCCCACCTCCACCAAGAAGAAGTTACAAAATAATTTTGGGCAGAACATACAGGTGATGTCTGTGTAAGCATCCCTGAAACATACATGCTTCCTGCTTCTCTCATCCTAAGAAGAAACAGTTTTAGGTACTGAGAAAGATAATGACAGCATATGGGGAAAATGGAGTAAAATGCATGAGGCTTTTGGTGGAAGGGAGGCGAATCATCTCACCGAATGATAGCCAAGAGATCCAGGTACGATTCAGTCACCATGGCAGTTTGCTCTGTGGAAAGGTACCCATCCTGCATGAAGCCTCCCATGTCAGAGTGAATCCCATGCAAAGCAAAGAGGTCACAGAGATGTTTCAGGATCCTTTGAATGCCAGCCTCTTGCCCAAATCTCTCCAGTGCTTCTACGAATTTTTCTACCACAATGTAATGGCTGTGGGCCTGCAAAAAAGTAATGACCAGATGTTTATCTCATACACCTCTTGGCAGAAGTGTCAGGATCAGTCCTTTACAGATGTGCATTATGGGAGGCAGCAGCAGCAGCAACAGAGGAAGGCTAGGTGTGTACATGTCCTTCAACATCCAAAACAAGTCTACCCACATTGGGTAGATCCCCATTTCTGCAGGCACAAATAGGTGAGTGGAGACAGATTCCTCTGTACTCTTCCCCTGAAAATATTACACAAAGGGTGAGGGGAGCTCTGATGAATTGGGCATATAAATGGGAGCAGAGCCCTCTTTTGCAAGCAACCATCTTTTCCTCGTGGAAAGCAAATGCCGGATACAAAGCAACGATGCCAGACATTTCCTTCACTTTAAGCCTCGTAATATTGAGAAAACTGCAGGCCTCCTTAGGTCCACCCTCTAGCTGTGTGCGAGCTGTTTTCCTCCCATATGAGCTATCAGAACTGGGAGTTTACGTCAGAAAGCCAGAAGTTTAGGCATGGCCTGAGAAAACCAACAAAAGATTGCCAAATTGGTTCTTGGCTGGTTTTCTTGAACCTTCACTCCCTTCAACTGGGCTCTGAACAAGGGCAGGCTCCCAGTTTGAGGGGGTGCTAGATAAATGATGTACCCCCTCCTCCATGTGGCTCTGGGTCTTCATGTACTAAAAGTAATAGCAGTACAGTGGTGCCTCACAAGACAAACGCCTCACAGGACAAAAAACTCACAAGACAAATGGTTTTGGCAATGGGGTTGATGACTCGCAAGACAAATGTTCCTATGGCCGTGCTTCGCAAGATGAATGTTTTCCGTTTTTTGCTCCTGCTTCATGTTTGCTGATTTTTAAATGTTTTTCTATGATGTTTAAAAAGTTAAAGTTTTTTGATTGAAATTTTTTAAATCATCTGCACAATATGTATGGCTTTAACGAGCACTTAATAAACCCTTTGTAAACCAAATTTGACTTTGTTCTGACTTTTTTTGGAACGCATTAATTAGATTTCAATGCATTCCTATGGGAAAACACATTTTGCAAGACGAATTTTTCACAAGACAACATTAACCGCTGAACAAATTAAATTCGTCTTGCGAGGCACCACTGTACTCCTAAGTTTAAGTAGAAAGGGCCAGCATCATCACTTGAAAATGTTTTAACAATGATTCAAACATTAGACACATTCCAAAACATTAGAAGGCATGTGTAACAAGTACTGTTTGTCTATTACTGGAGAAATATTACTTTTATTGGTGAGGAAATTGGGAGTAGCAGTCAGTAATGAGGCACTGATGTGCCAAATCACTTGTTACTCCTGAACAACAAATGCTGGTAATTAGCATTTATACCATCTAACTAATGACACAGTGCCTTTTAAAATAACAGTATGAAGTTCTAGTCTAGCTGCCATTTTAAGTTTCCTTAAGGTTCTCAATGTTTGGGGGCCCTGTGGAATATCAGAATAGTAGCTGGACCCAGATGTAAAGTGTTGCTAAGAGCATCAGGAAAGAGGGCCTAACAGCTGATAAGTCATGCTGGGGTCCTGGCAGTGAACTGCCCATATTGTTCTGTAGTCCTGCTTCGACAAGCTCCAAAGAACTTTCAGGCTAGAGGTGTGTAGATTTGTGTTTGTTGGACTACAACTGCCAGAATTCTCCAGGCATTCTCCTCTCTCTCTCTCCAACTTCCTCTGAGAAAGGCCTTATATTTGAATCATAGAATCAAAGAATAATGAAATTAGAAAGGGCCTATAAGGCCACTGAGTCCAACCCCCTGCTCAGTGCAGGAATCCAGATCAAAGGATTTCTGCCTTGCAGATACAACGCTATGCTGATTTCTAAATAAAGTCCCAATGCCCTTAACATTTTAGCACAAAATGGCTGAAATCCAGTAGTAAGTCGCAATTAGACTAGGCCCACTGAATCAGTGGAACCTGTGGTGGAACTGACTCACCAAATCTCCATGGATTCAAGAAGTCTACTCTAGTTGCAACTAACTACTGGATTTCAGTTCAGGCACCATCAGAATATATACAGTATATTTACCAAACAGAAAAAAGGCATATTTTAAACCAAAAACCAACATCAACATCCTTCCCCCCCAAAAAAAAATATTAGAAAACCAATACAGTGGTGCCTCGCATTACGACGTTAATTCGTTCCAGCGAAATCGCTGTAGAACGAAAACATCGTAATGCGAAATAAAAAAGCCCATAGAAACACATTAAAACCCAATTAATGTGTTCCTATGGGCTTGAAACTCACTGTCCAGTGAAGATCCTCCATAGCGCGGCCATTTTCGCTGCCCGTGCAGCGAGGAATTCGTCCCAGAAAAGAGCGGGGAGCCATTTTTTTACCCTGGCGGCCATTTTGGAACCGCCGATCAGCGGGCAAAAAATCGTCGTTTTGCGAGAATCGATTCCTGAAGCAGGGAACCGATCATCGCAAAGCAAAAAAAAAAAAAAAAAACATCGTAAAGCGTTCGCTTTTGTGATCACAAAAAGTTTGTCGTGATGCAATTTCGTCGTTAAACAGGGCGCTCGTCTTGCGAGGCACCACTGTATTGATATCCTATTCCTTTATTTCAGCTGTTCTTCCAACCCAAAGCATGGCTTATAACAACAGGCTGTAAATGAAGGCAACATGACCTATTTTTCCTTGGCTTCCTTATCGGAACACCGTTGTCACCAGCAGAAGAGCCAGTTGGGGGTGAAACTACAAAACAATTACCTACCATAGCAGCCTGTGCCAGCTGGACAGAGCACCGGTTCCATGCGTCATATTGGGCTATTCCTGACTGAACCAACATCTGGAGCTTGTTGGCTGCCTTTCTTAGCATTCTAGAAGCAGAGATGAAATATGATGACTATGGAACTAAGACTGTCAAGACGTTTTGGAAATATTTATAAAACATCTTTCTTGCTATCTCTGTATCTATTGTCATCTATAATGACAATAATATAAAAACATCTGTCTATCCTTCTGTCACAACAGTAGCTATTAAACCTTCATATTGAGGCCTATATGGCATATAGACTGCTTGACAGCTCAGTGGTTTAAGTGCCTGGCAGTGGAGCCCGGGGTTGGGAGATGGATTCCCCACTTTGCCTCTTTGACAGGGGCTGGACTCAGTGATCTATAGCAGTGGTCCCCAACCTTGGGCCTCCAGATGTTTTTGGATTTCAACTCCCAGAAATCCTGGCTAGCAGAGGTGGTAGTGAAGGCTTCTGGGAGTTGTAGTCCAAGAACATCTGGAGGCTCAAGGTTGGGGACCACTGATCTATAGGATCCCTTCCAGTTCCAATTATAAACATATTTACAACTTTGTATTTTTCACATTCGCTTTTTTAAAAAGTGCTCTAATTTTTAATATGTCCGTTTAAAGACTGCAGCACCACTTTCCGCCAGTAGGTGACAGGCATCTATAACCAATGAAGAAGAAGCAGTGGTCATTCCACAAATCTTAATTTTTCAAGGTCATGTGGAGTGGGGAAACTCGGGCATCATTAAAACTTTTATCTGAAGCACGGCCTGATTGTTTTAAAAGTTTAAAAAGTAAAGAAGTAAAGAGATCTTTTTACCTGATCACTGAATTGGGGAGGCTGAGTGAGAGGGTTGAGAAGAAAGAAGGGCAAGCTCGGAAAGAATGAAAAAGAAAAATGAAAGAATGAAAATGAAAAAGATGTGAGAGACAAAGAGTAGGTAGAAACTGAAATGTGGGAGACAAAAAGTATAGGGAACAGAAAGAACACAAGGGTTGGTGGGTGGGGAAAAGTCTCATGATGAAGAGCACACAGCCATGGGGAATGGTCTACAAATCAGGTCTTGATCTTAACCTGCCAAAACTATCATCCAGAAGCAAAATTAGGGGGTTTGGTGGGGAAATACCCAAACTAGTAAGAGTAACATCTGACCCTGCCCCACTGCACTTTCACTCTGCCTACTCTGTCCTTGGCCTGACCTGTGCCCTAACTTCTACATGCCCAAAATCACACAAAATGTAACTTGTCTCAACTATCAGGGACCAAAAAAGCTTCTCTTTCCACTTGGTTAGGGTCCCTCTATTCACCATTACCTTGCACTCAAATGACTGATGTCACCTATTCTCAATCTTTAGAAAAAACCATGCAGTTAGTCCAATTCTACACAAAGGAAAAAGTATACTGGGTTTTAATATCTTTATGCCTACCTGAATGCTCTTTGCCTATAGGCATCAGCGTAAACATCCGGATTGAGGAAATCCCTCTTTTCTTTTGCCCGGCATTTGCCAAGGTTTTCAGAGGAGAGGTAGGCAACTGAGGGAGGAAGAGGCTTGCCATTTATTGCTGCCCCAAAGCATTTGATGAGAAACCTAATGAGCAAAGAAACAAAAACAAACAAACAAACCCACAATTAACCCAAACCGAAAATTAGAAAAGAAAGAAGTGGTCAAATCTCTAGCCCCAAACCACTTTCAGAACCCCGTGTTGTTGTTTTTTTGAAAACATTTGTTTTTCAGCTGCAAAAGAAAGTATGAAGAGAAGGCAAAGCTTCTGCATACTCATGATCTAGATTACTGGGAAGTTACACAAGTAATTGGCAGTAATATTGCTGAATAGACATTTCAGTAGCAGGTTGTTTATGAGACTATATCGACTAGTTTCATTCTTTGTTTAAGGACAGTTTTAAAATGTATTATTATTATATAGTTTTAATTGTTGTGAAGCACCTGGGGTCCCTTATAGGGAGAAAGGTAGCATATAAAATAAAATACATAGTGCACAATCTTTGTCAATTTTCATTTTGTCTCTGTTTTTGCAGTGGAATATTTCTAGACCTTCTTGTTGTTAGGAACCCCATGAAAATTATTCTCTGTTTCTCCAAAAGTTCAAAGTCTTCTCCCACCCAGCTCTACCCGAATCACCCGTCATTGCCAGCAGGGACGGCTGAGGGGTCTGACGCTGAGAGAGGCTCGGAAGCAAAAAACTAGAAACCGGGCCTTCTCGGCGGTGGCCCCTCGGCTGTGGAATGCCCTTCCAGCAGACATTCGGCTGGCACCCTCGCTGGATGTTTTTAAAAAACAGTTAAAAACTTGGCTATTTAAGCAGGCCTTCCCTCCAGTCAGCTAAGTTTTTTATTTTTTCTTTCTCCCTTTATACTCCACTCTGCTAACTTTTAATCCAATTGTATTAATATTTTAATTGTATTTTATGATTATCTATATTTTATATTGTCCATTTTATGTTGTAAGCCGCCCCAAGTAGACATCGTCTAGAGGGGCGGGGTATAAATTTAATAAATAAATAAATAAAATAAATAAAGAGTTGCAGAACTACTTGAGCAACACATATGTTTTTTAATCTCTCCCACCTCTTCACACAACTATTGCCACACTGCCATTCATCTTTAATCTTTGTTTTGGTATCCACCCACCCCTTCACTCACCAACATAACAAACATTTTATGCAATATTTCTGTTCCCAGAACCTGCCAGAGGTTTGCTTCTGGCTAAACTGACAACGCTCCCTTCCACCACGGAAGATACACGGCAAATACTTTCCACAGTTTTGTCTCCTGAGCAGTTTCTAATATTCCTGGACATTCTGAGCAATAAAATAGTTCGGTCAGCTTACAGCAATGCACATCTTTGGCCCAACTGAATGTCTATAAACATATATACAAGCTGTTTTATTCCAGTTGTTCCATTAAAGGCCAAAACTCTGTTAGTTACATCTGCTGGCATAGTGCAATTGGTGTAAATCTCAATGGCAGACTGCCTCAGGTCAAGACGTTGGCATAGGCATCTGTTGCACACTGAGCTGTGTGCCTTTTAGAGGTAATAGCAGAAGCCTGTATTAACTTATTGACTGGTAGCAATTCACCAATGAGATTTATGCCAATTGCATTATGTTAGGGTAAAAATTCAGGGGGATTTTGGCCAGAGTCTTAACCACTCTAATTGAGGTTTGGCATGAAGGTCCTGAAAGGTAAAAACACATACTTCTCCCTGTTGACTTTAAAAAGACATCCTGAATTGGAGTACTGTTTATGAAATGTATCGTGGAACATCTATTAAATCTATTTTTTTTCCTAAGTGGTTTTGGCAAGACCCTAGAGATCAGGCAAGGATCAATTTTCGGTGAGGTTACCTGGCTGTCTGCAGAAGAAGCACCGTGTTTTCCCCCTCGTAGGTGCAAGAGGCAACCAATTTCGTGCATAAGGTAGGCAGACCACTGAGCAGAGAGTAGCCATGTCCCCCACAGGCCCTTCGGCACACCTCCGCACCAGCTGAACTGTAGTCTGTAGCTATCACTTTAAGGCCTGAAGTGAGCGCATGAAGCTGTCAAGAAGTGAAAAATACTGTTGTTAACAAGGGCATCCCAGCATTCCTATGAACGTGAGGGAGCTATATTATCTTGGACTGAGGGTGGAAATCTTGAGGTTCCAACGCACAATGGTCTCTACACAGCACAAGGCCCCCTGCATCTGTGAAAGCTAAACTTCTGTAGGTTTATACAGTGGTGCCTCGCTTAACGAGTGCACCGTATAGCGATGTTTCCGTATAGCGATCCCTTTTTCGGGATCGCTATACGGAAACATACCCGATCTTCGTAATGGGGAAAACCCGCATTGCGAAGATCGGGTATTGCGGCGGCCATTTTGGAGCCAACGCACAATGGTCTCTACACAGCACAAGGCCCCCTGCATCTGTGAAAGCTACACTTCTGTAGGTTTATATTTGTTGCTGCAATGCACCTTATGCTCATGAGTCATCTTTTGTACTTGAAATAATGCTACCTGTCTTAACATCATGGCATAGAAATCTACATATGCAAACCTTTTAAGAGACAAGCAATCTGCTGCCATGGCACCTTATGCGCATGAGTCATCTTTTGTACTTGAAATAATGCTACCTGTCTTAACATCATGGCGTTACATATGCAAACCTTTTAAGAGACAAGCAATCCAAAAAACAGGCATGTAGGTGGCTAGATCACATCCCATTCATTCCCATGGGAAACAGTGAAGCATGCACTTAACTCTCCCTCCCAATGAAATCAATGAAACTCTTTTTGTTCCTATATACAGACTAAAAATCATTGTAATTATCAGGAGGAGGATCTTAAATCATTAAACATTAACAGGAACATCTCTGATGGTGGAAATCTTGACATCACTAAGACTTAAATCATTAAACATTAGCAGGAACATCTCTGATGGTGGAAATCTTGAGGTTCCAAAATAAGGAAAGATGCAACTCCAAATCCAAACCCCAGATGGGCACAGATTTTTATTGCTGAATCGGTATACAAACACAGACAAATCTACTATTCCCCTGTTCTTCAAACTACAGTATATTGGACTGTTCATAGGTGTGTATGTATGTGCTCTGTTTTACTGGGGCCCAAAAATGATGAGTTAGCATCTCAGGGGAAGGGGTTTCAGTTGTGCATTCCACATTTAAGGCTGAAACATGAGGTAGCAGTCCCATATACTAAGAGAGGGAAGTGGTGCATTTTGGTAGGAATATGTGCATGCTATAGGCCACTAAGTTGCATCTGGCCTATGGCAACTCTTAACTGGGCTTTCTGAAATATTTATGGAGTGGTTTATCATTGTCACCACCATCCAGTGATTTCTGAGCAGGAATTTGAACCCAGTTCTCTTTCATAGAATCATTGTGGTGTTGGAAGGAACCTTGGAGATCTTCTAGTCTAACCCCCTGCCCAGGCCAGGAGACCTCATACCATCCCGGACAGATGACTGTCCAATCTGTTCTTGAAAACCTCCAGTGATGGGACACCCACAACATGCTGTTCCACTGCTTAATGGATCTCAACCTCATTTCCGGGTTGGATCTCCATCTGACATGTTTCCACCCATGGTTTCTTCTACCCTTTCTCAGACAGTTTCTGGAGAGGAAATGGGCTCTTTGTGCCATCGTTATTTAACTCAGCTAGTAAAATGGTTGATATAGCGGGATGTAGATTTTTGTTTTTGGACTACAATCTCCAGATTTCCCTAAGTTTGCCTGGAGTATTCTGGGAGTTGTAGTCCAAAAACCACACATCTATATACTTCTAATTTGGACCATTTCCTATTTTCCAGAAGTCTAATGAAATCTGATCAAACAGAATGAACATAACTCAGGTTTTAAGTCTAATACATTCTTACCTGGGAGTAAACCCCGCTACACTCAGTGAGATTTACTCTTCAGCAGATAGACCTAAAACTACAGTGTCAGTGACTTACTGCCTGGTCCCTAGTCTGAAATGGGTCACAATTCTTACCTTGTTTTCTAAAGACCTGAACAGATACTGATTTTTTTCCTTTCCTTAGAATTACCTCTGGAAGCATATCAAATTTTCCTTCTTTAGTTTCTCTGTAGCCCTTGTCAAAGACTTCCTGAAGATAGCCACAAACGAAGAAAAGGGCATAAGCGGTTGCAAGCTGAGGTAACAGCTTCTGCTGCTGAGTCTGATAGTCAAGGATCTTTGCCTCTGGGTCACTGAGGAAACAAAATGGGATTACTGAAGGGATGAATGGCAACCTTTTGGTAGCGCAGCCTTCAAATTATTTTACAAGCAGTAGGGGTTTCCACAGCATTTCCTCTTTTGTTAGTGAAGACAGTGCTAACAGGCTAATCCCAACTTCAAAGCCAACCTCAGACATTTTGTGGCATTTGATTTTACAGCTGAGGTAAAAGACAAGAAATCAAAGCTTGGGAAAGGTTTTCTTCTAGATACAAGACAGCTGCCAAAATCCTTCAAGCACCACAGGCCATTATTACCATTTCAGGAAAGAAAATGTCCTGAAATGTCTGCATAAGGTTGTAATCTGTCATAACCGCCCTGCAGATTCTACCTCCTTCAAATCCATGCATGATTCAGCCAGGTCCAGTGATGTTTGGAGATAATGATAGGGAGCTAATTCCAAGTCAAATAGGGGCCTGTTTAAGATAGTTAGAACAATCCTGTTCACCCTGAAGAGGAAGCACGAGGCTTCTGTCAGGTTTCATGTATTAGACCTGCCTTTAACATCCTTGCACTTGCTGGCTCCATGTGCATTACTGTCTTTGGAGGCTTGGTTGGAACTGTGTGGCAGATGGGGCTTGCGGATGCACCTTCACACGTACCACAGGTTGACCTCACATGAGGAGGCTCAGTAACTGCACAGGGTTAAAGGATGCAGAGAACCCACAGTACCCACCTTTTTCTGTGTCTTCCCTGTCTGAAACAAAGTCTGCTTGACTTAAATCAAATTTATACAGTTTATCAGTGGGCACAGGAGGAGGATATACATATTGAGTAAATTAATAATTTACTTAATGAATTGTGCGTCATCACGGCACTTCCCATTTATGGTGACCTTGTCCAAGGTTTTCTCAAGAGGAAGTGGTTTACCCATTCCCTTCTCCTGAGGGCATCCTAGAACTCAGCTCTTGCCCAAGGTCACACAGGCTGACTCTACTCACAGAAGGCCCAGCGGGGAATCAAACTCCCAACCTCTGCTTCCATGGTCAGATGCCTAACTCGCTGAGCAATTCAGCCAGCTAGTGAGTAAATTACTTGGAGAAAAGAGACACACTCTGTCTACTAAAGGAAAAGAATTCTTTGTGAAAGCCCTATCCTCTTCTCCAGTTTCATGAGGAGTTTACTTGTTTCTACCGCCAGATGGGCCATCACCCTTCATTCATTCACCATTCCATGGGACCCTTCTGTAAACTATAGTTGGAATGGGAGAAAATAAAAATAATGGACAGCAACAGCAATGAGATGAAAGAAAGAAAGCTGTAACAAAACAAGCAACCGAAGAGCTAGAAAATGATGGATTATAATGATTGGAAGCAGATTCCATGTCATACCCAGGCTTTAATTCAGACTGACGGCGCACAACAGAATATCGGACAGCAATGGTGCACGCCTTCATCAGCAGAGGGACAACTTCATATTCAAGAATTTGCGTACGGATCACCATCATAGTCAAGTAGTTAATCTTGTCAGACCCTTGTTTCCTATACTGTCCATCTGGCAGAACCTGGATATAAAAAATAAAAGAAAATTCAGGGAGTGATGTGCATTATGACAGAGGTCCCCAGCCCCTGGTCCGCGGCCCAGTGCTGGTCTGTGGCCTGAGCTGGACCGGGCCGCGGAGACAGACCTCCTGGTGTGCCCCCCACACGCACTCATCCCTGCACAGATGATTCGCGTGCCCGTCTGAGCGCCGTGCCGCTGTTTGAACATGCGCATGAGCACAAGTGCGCCCAGACAAGCACCGCGCTGCCATTTGCACAGTTACAAATACTCAACTATCCCGTACACCACACCAGAAGACAGACGGAGTTCTAACTCCTGTCCTTTGAAGATGCTGGCCACAGAGACTGGCGAAACATTAGGAAGAAAAACCTCCAGAGCACCGCCAAACAGCCTGAAAAACCTACAACAACAATTGGATCCTGGCCTTGAAAGCCTTCGAGAATACATGGAAAACACTCTACATTAAAGTCATCAAATTTCTTCTTGTGCTGACAACTGTGAGGAAGGAAATGCAACATATTCAATAAAGGCAATGCTTGTGAAGCATGTTAGGATCGTCAGAGGAGGCCTTTCTTTCATCTCCACAAGTGGAGTGCGGTGCTTGTTCCCTGGTGGGAACACAGGAGAGGGCCTTCTTTGATGTTTTTCCCAGACTTTGGAACTCCCTCCCACAGGAGGTCAGGTTACCCCCAGCTTTTACTGTTTCCACAAGCAAAGACCTTTCTCTTCAGGCAGGCTTTTCTTTAGCAAATGACTGTCTGGGATGGCTTGTATTTTGTTGCTTCTAAATCTATTTTTCATAGTGTTTTTCAAGAGAAAAATCAGACAAATCTACTTTGATTTGGATTCCTGCATTGAGCAAGGGGTTGGACTCAGTGGCCTTATTGGCCCCTTCCAACTCAATTATTGTATGATTCTATGACACTAATTCTTCTTTAATAGTTGAATAATTTACTGTTTTTAGCTTTTAACAATGTAAGTTGCCTTTTTAATTATGTAAGCTGCCTTGGGTCCTTTCTTAGGAGAAAGCTGGGGTAAAAAACAAATAAGCAAACAAGCATTTCTAGGGCATACAAGCAAGCAAGCTTTTAAGTGTGTGCACGTGGCTTGAATCAGTTCACAATAGTTTTCCAATGTCAACATCAGTTGCCTAACAAATTCTATCTATATTTGCAAAATCAAACAAAACATTCATAAATACCTGCCTTCTGCGGTGAATGGCTATTCAAAGAGAAGCCGTAAGGTGTAATTGCCACTGAACCATGGAATTCATAGGATGATCTTGGACCAGTTACTCAGCCTCATAGGACTGTTGTGTGGATTAAATGTGGAAGGAGAAAGCCAGGTATGCCTAGGCTCATTAGAGGAAAGGCAGAATATAAAGGGAGCTGCAAATCAAGTGAGTGATACCATATTTCCCCAAAAATAAGACAGGGTCTTATATTAATTTTTCCTCTCCAAAAACAAAACAAAACACATTAGTCTTTTTAATTATCTAAGCTGCCTTGGGTCCTGTTTTAGGAGAAAGCTGAGGTAAAAAACAAATAAGCAAACAAGCATTTCTAGGGCATACAAGCAAGCAAGCTTTTAAGTGTGTGCACGTGGCTTGAATCAGTTCACAATAGTTTTCCAATGTCAACATCAGTTGCCTAACAAATTCTATCTATATTTGCAAAATCAAACAAAACATTCATAAATACCTGCCTTCTGCGGTGAATGGCTATTCAAAGAGAAGCCGTAAGGTGTAATAGCTAATCTTCAGAACTCTGGGTTCTAATTGCCTCTGAACCATGGAATTCATAGGATGATCTTGGACCAGTTACTCAGCCTGATAGGACTGTTGTGTGGATTAAATGTGGAAGGAGAAAGCCAGGTATGCCTAGGCTCATTAGAGGAAAGGCAGAATATAAAGGGAGCTGCAAATCGAGTGATACCATGTTTCCCCAAAAATAAGACAGAGTCTTATATTAATTTTTCCTCTCCAAAAACAAAACAAAACACATTAGGGCTTATTTTCAGGGGATGTTTTATTTTACAGTCATGTCATCTTCTTCTAGTTGCTGCACAATGGTGGAGGGCATGGTTACACTTAACTGGGGCTTACTTTTGGGGTAGGGCTTATATTATGAGCATCCAGAAAAATCATACTAGGGCTTATTTTCAGGTTAGGTCTTATTTTCGGGGAAACAGGGTAACAGCAGCCTGCTTTTTACATTGCCCTGGGATTTAAGCAGCAGGAATCATTTGAAGACTAATATTTTAACTAGAAAGCATAGCTTGAACTGGTGTTACAGATGGCAGTATGCACAGTGGCACTGCAGGAAAAGCATTCAACATGGAAATAAGCAACATGTGTACGAGGGAGTGCTGACAAGTATTGAGCCTTTCCCAGAAAATAATTGAGCTAGGAAGCTATAAATTGCAGGGTGTATTGGCCAATTTGTCTGTATTCAACGGTGCAAAAATCAACTACCTATAATTTTATCTTTCATGTTTAGGTCCAAAGTGAACATGGAAGCACCTCCAGAAAAGTTCAATGTGGAAGAGCATAGGACCATAATCAAGTTCCTGTTTCTCCAAGGGAAAGGTGCAAAGCAATCAGCCAAAAGTACTGCTATATATCTGAGAATATCACGTGAGAGAGTTGGTGCCATTCACAATGACTTGGAAATGAGAAAGCTGGCAGCAAAGTGGATCCCCACACTTTTGACAACCGAACAAAAGAGGAAACGTGTGGAGTAATCGGTGGCTGGTTTGGAACATTTTGCAAGAAATGAGTCAGATTTCCTGGACAAACAGGTAACTGGTGATGAGACATGGATATACTGTTATGATCCTAAGACAAAGCAATAGTCTAAGGAATGGAGGCACAGTAGTTCCCTCAGGCCAAAGAAGTTCCGAGTGCAAAGGTCGGTGCAGAAGCAAATGGCGACAGTTTTTGGGGATAAGAAGGGAGTTCTGCTGGTGGACTACCCCCAACAGGGTTCAACCATCAATGCAAAATATTGCTGTGCTTTATTGACGAAGTTGAGGCAAAACATCAAGGAAAAACATTGAGGAAAGCTCTCCAAAGGTGTCATCTTGTTGCATGACAATACCTTGTCACACACTGCAGGTGAAACAATGGCAAAACTGACCTCCTTAGGCTTTCAAGTGATGCCCCATCCATCCTATTATTCCGACCTGGCTCCTTCTGACTATTATCTGTTCCCCAAACTCAAAAAACACCTAAAGGGATAACGATTTGGGAGTGTTCTGGAGGCAACTAATGCTGCAAATCAGTGGTTACACCAGCAGTTGGAGGAATTTTATTTGCAGGGACTTAAGAAGCTGCAGGACAGATGTCACATGTGTGTTGACTTCCTGGGGGGAATATGTAGAATAGTGTGGCAGTTATAGCTTCCTAGCTCAATTTTTTTCTGGGTAAGGCTCAATACTTATCAGCACCCCCTCATACGTATTGCCTGTTCATTATATACAATAGGGTAGTGTCTTTATTTTGAAGGAGATATCCTGATATTTTTAAAAAGCTAGAGGCTTGATGCTGATGATGGGGAGAATAAATAGTGAAATGTGGAAGAGATATGTACCACAGAAATCATCATCATCCTCATAATGGGCCAATGAATCAATTCTAACTTACACCAACTTCTTCCAGGGTTTTTTAGTTATAGAGAATACCCAGAAGTGGTTTACCATTCTTTTCTTCTGGGGACACTTGGACTGTATATACACTGTATATTACACTGTATATTACACTGGCTGGTTCTTCTCCTAGGAGGCACAACAGAGGATCAAACTCCAGAATTCTACAGTCAGGTAAAAAAGTAAAGGTAAAGGTTCCCCTTGCCAATTTTTGTCCAGTCGTGTTCGACTCTAGGGGGCGGTGCTCATCCCCGTTTCCAAGCCATAGAACCAGCTTCTGTCCGAAGACAATCTTCCGTGGTCACATGGCCAGTGCGACTACGGAACACTGTTACCTTCCCACCGAGGTGGTCCCTATTAATCTACTTGCATTTGCATGCTTTCGAACCGCTAGGTTGGCGGGAGCTGGGACAAGCGACGGGTGCTCACTCCTTCACGTGGATTCGATCTTACGACTGCTTGGTCTTCTGACCCTGCAGCACAGGCTTCTGCGGTTTAGCCCACAGCGCCACCACGTCCCTGCAGTTTAGCCCGCAGCGCCACCACAGTCAGGTACCTGAGCTATTAAGCAATCTTGGGAAGCCTATAGGCTTAGCAATGCTTAGATCTGGGGACATGAAGATCTGGGGGCATTCATGGCTCAGAAGCTTGAAATAGTTTTATAGGCTTTCAAATATTCTTCCACAAACCGGCCAGCTATTCTGGTTTTTGCTTTAAACAAGGAAAAGAAAGCTGATGAAGATTCCTAACATGCTATCAAACTTATTTTAGTAGATTCAAAACGAAATTTCACATATGTGAAAGAGACTAGAGACCCCAATGTTCATTTTCTGACAGAAACAAGATAAACCTATTTGTTCCTTCTTTGTAAGGAGTACCTGAGAAAATCTGGATAACATGTTTTCCCTTGGAACCCGAACATTCTTCAGTAGAAGAAAGCCGTTGTCGACATTTTCAAAGCTCATTTTAGGACCAATATCCCCTACAGTCACTCCTGAGATAGAAAAGAAGCAAACAAAAACATTTAAAAGATCTAAATGTACTAAAGGGAATTCTGAGGCGCCTGGGGCTGAAAGTGTTTTGGTGAACATGATTCATGAGGCAGGAAGAAAAGCTGGGGGATCGCTTGAGACAACTGTTTGCATAAGCGATCCATTACCAAAGATGAGGTTTTATTTAACAAGAAGGGTCCCTTCGATTCATGACCTCTCCCATGTTAAGCTCCACCAAATTAAAATAGGCTGCTCCTAGGAAGTTGGGTGTCTCATGGTAGGCTTAATTTGGAAACTTTCAGGTGATCTTGTGCTTCCTTATTTAACTGTGCTACTTTCACATAGTGTTCCTCATCTCTTTCTAGTCATCAAAAGTGGAACATTCACTAAACCTCCACTCTCTTGTGTGTCTCTTCACCTGGGGAACTATCACCCTTCAAATTTTTTGCCTGAACTGTTTTTTCTTACTTCCAGGAATTATTAACCATTTATCCTTTCTCCTCTTTCTCCTTGATGTATTACTTCATTTTTAGTTTTGCATATTTGCGGGTTAATACTGTAATTTAACTCCTTTATATTTCACTTGTCCTGTTTGAGCTTATGCTAAGTTTCTCCCTCTCAATTCCCTTTATGTTTTTTTTTACATCATATTTTTTCTGTCTGTGTGTCTATCTATTTTTTAAAAGTACCTAACATGGTATTATTCCTCGATTAGAAGATATTTACATACTGTTCTAAACTAACTCTCCCAGGGAGAGTTAGTTTATACGTAAGTTTTATTATTGATGTATTAAGTGTGAGTAAGTTATGAGGGAAATTAAAAAGCAGACCTCTCTTCCCCAGGGTAAGATGGCCTTTAATTAGGCTTGTGATGACAAGAGGAGGCCACCAAGAGGAACAGCATGAACTAGAAAATGGATAAAGTATGCTGCTTAAATATTGCTCCATAGTACTGGAATGTAATGGTGCAGGCTACAAATTGTGCCCCCAGCAGGCTGAGTACTCAATTTACCAAACTCAAAAGATGGAAGTTTGAACCAACCTCAAGTTGGCTACCTGAGCATGGGATCAAACCCAGGTCATGAGCGGAGTCTTCACTGCAGTACTGCAGTTTAACGACTGTGTCACAACAGCTTACTAGGCTCTCCACAACTAATAGGAAGATGGCCTTCCACTGGTCCTGTGGTGGAATATTAATTCAAAACATTTTATAAACAAATTATTATGATCCCTGATATTAGAATGGAATAGGATCGGTGGGGAGGAGTGGCTATACATAAAAGCCACCATTATTACTGATAATAGTTTTTAGTATGTTTATAACTCAGCTTTGCAGACTGTTAAAGTTGAAAAACAATGGCCAACTTCTTTTACTTATGTATGACAGTGGAAGTCAAATGGTGTAAATTCTTCAGATCAAACCAGTCACATGAGCTGGCCCATGATGTGGAATACAAGTGTTGCCTCCTTAAGTACTAGCTGCTTACTGTTACAATTTATGCCATTTTATGCTGGCATGTACTGTATAAGCAATACAATTCTGCCTGGTGCATGAATACAGATGATGATGATGATTACAAATGGTCTCCATTATTGTTAATTTTAGAAAAAGCATTAATAAGGTTTTTAAAAATCTGGCTTTTAAACTGTTTCATTGACTTGTTTTTGATGCATTCAGTATTTTCTGTGGTTTGAATTTGTTATTCTTTTGTCTGCTGTACCCTGCCTTGGTCGTCTTCACAAAAAGAAGACATGCACATGGAAATAAATAATTAAAAGAGCTACACGACTTACAGACTTTTTGACTTGAGAACCGCCTTCCAATACGGATTAAGTTCTCAAGTCAAGACCCCAATGTACTGTAAGCACATATCTAACATTTCTCACTAACATAATATTTATGAAGGCCACCATTACTTTCTTACAAACAAGGGTAAAATACTATAGAACTGAATGAAGGCAAGTGATGGATGCAATTTTAACATATCACTGATCATCATGTTATAGCTATCTGCAGAAAACTGAGCAGTCACACACAATAAATAGTGTTGGTAGGGACCTATACAAGCACAGAAACTGATGATGGCAAGGACCAAAACACTGCGTTTCTTACCTAGCATTCCAGGTCACTCAGATCCCTGAAGACTAAAAGCCCAACACTTGCGTCATTCAAACAAAACACCCAAGAGAATCTCCTTCAGGACCTCTGGATGGGGTTACCTGGCATTGGAGAATGATCTAGAAGGCTGCGAATCTGCAGCATGAAAGGATGCATGCCGTAACACTTCTCTTTCAGGTACAGCTGAGCAAAAACCACAGCATGAGTCGCTGTCCGTCCCACTGCAAGGGAGAAATGGACAGGGGTGGGTGGAAGAAAGGAATCAGATCCCGGCCGTGAAAGCCTTCGGGAATACAGTGGTGCCCCGCTTGATGACAATTATCCGTTCCAGCGAAATCGCTGCAGAGCAAAATCGTTGTCAAGCGAAAGTAAAAAACCCATTAGAATGCATTAAAAACCGGTTAATGCGTTCTAATGGGGGAAATGCCTCATCGTCCAGCGAAGATCCTCCACAGGGCGGCGATTTTCTGGTGCCTGTAAAGCGAGGAATCCGTCCTAAACACAGTGGGGAGCCATTCTGCACAGCGGGGAGCCATTTTGCGACCCACCAATCAGCTGTTTTAAAACCATCGTTAAGCGAAAAATCAGTTCCCGAAGCAGAGAACCGATCATCATTAAGCGAAAAAACCCTTTGAATCGTTTTGCGATCACAAAAAACTCATCGTAAAGCAGATTCATTGTCAAGCGGGGTTATCATCAAGCGGGGCACCACTGTATAAAGGAAGCCACCCTTTGCTTGAAAAGATCATCAGCACTTCCAGACTTTTCTTGATAGCATCATTTGCAGTTCTTTTGAACTGAGGAGGAGGTCTTTAAAGAGAGTGAAGAGAAAAAGGAATTTGAGGGCCTGAAAAGCTGCTGGTCAGGACTGCTGTATATATCAGGAGCAGGCAACATGTGGCTCTAGGATCACAGGAGTCTCCTTTCCTAGTCCCCCACCTTTGCTTTGCCACTGGGTTCCATGTTTCAGTTGCAAGAGGAAAAAAATTACTTCTGCTTTAGAACAAGATGCACCGGGAGCACACAGCATTTTTAATAGTATCCTTACAATTCTAGAATCCCCTTGGTGTATGAATCTACTTTAAAAGATGGCTTAGGGTTCCTCCTATGGGGAACTAGCCCGCAAAGGAACTGGTTAAAAGATCCCATTTCTAAGGCCCTACTTATGGGTGATCAGGCAAGCATATCGTTCACAATTTGGTTTGCTTTTGTTCGGTTTGGTTCACCCTATTTTCCATTGGCTGTGTGTGTTTCAAATCAAGGCAATCCATCTTGCCCCTTCTGCGAGCTGCCTTTTCAACGTGACCCGGATTGCTTCAAATTCCCCCCATCTAGTCATGCCCTTAGAAACACATCATATTCAGCTAAACTGTATCTTAAAGAATGGGGAAATAACTGACGACAAAAGTGAACCCAAAGTCTACCCGCAACATGGGCCGTCCTATCCCCCCAGCTTCCCATATATTATTTGCTACTTACATTCTCCGGGCCACCATTTCATGGCAGAGATGCTCGGTGTATTGAGGATGAACTCTTGAGTAGCAACATCAAAAGTGGCTGTCGTTTCCAAGCCCCGAAGGTATGTTCCTTAACAGGCAAGTGGGAGAGGGACACAACGTCTCAGAGCACAAGTAGTCTTTGTTCAGAAGCCACAAACAAGATCCACAAACCCCCCAGCTGAGCTCCTGTCAGGAAAGAATGACTCCAACTTTTGCCTCTTTCCTGTTAGCAAACTCCACCTTCACAGATATCACAGTGAACAGAAGGCTCCCTTATTTTGGGCCTCCTTGACACTGACGGCGTGAGAGATCACATATTGGATTGCGTGCGGAGTGTTCCTGTGCAATCTGTTTTCCAGCAATCCAAGAACGGACAGGGAATTGTCATCCAGCCCAACCCTCTTCTGTGCCCGACTTGGACCTTTTTGGTCCAGCTGTAGAGTGACTTCGACTTCCTTTCTGGATGGAGTGACTTCCCAGGAGTTGGAAAGATAGCTTTAAGGGAGATCGCTCCATGCAAAGTGTCCCCTTCCAGCGAGATTGGATGCAAGCCAGATGCCTGACTGCACCCTGACTAAATAACCAAAGATGAGGCCAAGGCAAGGGCAAGGGCAAAATTGCCATCTACTCCACATATCAAAAAAGTACAGTGGTGCCTCGCAAAATGATGTTAATCCATTCCGCAGAAATCGCTGTCTTGCGAAAACATCGTCTTGCAAAACAAAATTTCCCATAGGAATGCATTGAAAATTAATCAATGTGTTCCTAGGGGAATTTTTTTTTAAAAGGAACTTAAGGGGTAGGGAGCTGGGGAAGCACCATGAGAGGACTGGCGGGGGGTCCCCTCGCTGTGATCGCCAGCTTTGGAGGCCCCCCGCCAGTCCTCTGATGGTGCAGGAAAAGCTTCCAAAGTGCTCTAAAGCTGGCTCGGATGGTTTGGGGGCCCCCCCGCCAGGGTTCTGATGGCTTCTCCTGCACCATCAGAGTCCTGGCGGGGGTGCCCCAAAACCACCCGCGCCAGCTTTAGAGCACTTTGGAGGCTTTGCCTGCACCGTCAGGAAAAGCCTCCAAAGTGCTCTAAAGCGGGTGTGGGTGGTTTTGTAAAGCGAAAAAGCCCAATTGGAACCATCGTTTTGCAATCGCTAAAGCGATCACAAAAAATCCATCGTAAAGTGATTTCGTCGTCAAGCGGGGCAACCGTCTAGCAAGGCACCACTGTACTAGAATGGGCAACTGCTACAACAAGCTAGGCAACTTACCATGCCCTAGTTCAGTTTGGGCGTAAGTTCCTGAGATGTAAAACTTCTCTGCTAAGGGGCCCCATTTGGCAATCTGCTCATCTGTGCCCAATCCCAAAATGCTCTTCAGGAAGACTTGATGTACATTAAAGGCCAAATGACCATTGAGAGCCCTGCAACAAGACACACAGTATTGTTATGCTCCATGTGTTGGCCCCAAACATACAGTACTGTATAGGTAAACACATAAAGTTGATGATGATGATGATGATCTCCATTGGAGTTGCTGAGAATTCTGGGGCTGGTCTGAATATTTTTTGTTATTTAACAGATCATTTAACAGTTCAAATGTCCCCAGTCTCTTGAGAAAGTGCCCACAACTACCCTAGATCTTTTTTGAGAGTTTAAAGTCAGAAATGTACGTACTTTCTATAGGCAAAAAAGCATAGTTGAAGTATTAAGGATGTAATAATAATGAAAATGGAAAATATTTTGAAAACAACAGTAACAAAGGCTTGAAGGATGTTGAGCCACAGCAGAAACAACAATCTGAAAATGAATTAAACAGTTGGAAAAATAAAGCACTATATGGACAACACCTGAGAAATATTGATGGAAAGCATTATCATAATTCAACATGAGCATGGCTACAACTGGGGACCCTTAAGAAAGAAACCAAAGGCTTGATATTTGCTGCACAAGAACAAGCACTCCAAACCAATGTGATGACAGCTAACATCCAAGGAATTAGTGCTAAAAGCGAATGTCGACTCTGCCAAGAAAAAGATAAAACTGTATCACACCTCATCTGTGAATGTCCAAAGATTGCACAAACAGACTACAAACTTAGACCTGACAGAGTGACAAAATTAGTGCACTGGTCATTATGCAAAAAATATAACTTTCCAGTCTCCAAAAACCCATGGGAACTTCATGTAGAGAAGGTGTCAAAAATGATAGCATTCAGATCCTATGGAATTTCTGGATCCAAACTGATAAGACACCTTGAACATAACACACCAGACGTAGTAGTAATAGATTGAAGAAATGTCTCGAACATTGACAGTGGTCCCCATAGTTATTGGGGCTTTGGGAACAATATGAAGAAATTTCACACAATATTATAAGCAGCTGCAGATCGTATTAAGATCTCATTATATATGCAGTTGCAGATCATCATCATAACTACAAAAATGGCAATATTAGGAACAGCATACATACTGTGCCTATATTTAACAGATACAGTGGTGCCCCGCATAGCGACGATAATCCGTTCCGGATAAATCGTCGCTATCCGGAAACATCGCTATGCGAAATAAAAAAGCCCATAGGAATGCATTAAAATGCGTTTAATGCGTTCCTATGAGCTTAAAAACTCACCTTATGCGAAAATCCTTCATAGGGGCGGCCATTTTCGGTGCTTTTAAAGCAAGGCAACACAGCGGGCTGCCATTTTGGAACCGCCGATCAGCTGTGCGAAAAAGGGGCGTTTGGGAGGACCGCGGGCGAGGGCTCCCCTGCGGTCCTCCGAAAGCCGCCGCTGGCATTTTCCCCCAGCTGGCCGGCGTGAGCTTTGGAAGGACCGCAGGGGAGGGCTCCTCCGTGGTCCTTCCCAAGCCTCCGCCAGCATTTTCCCCCAGCTTGCCGGCGTGAGCTTTGGAAGGACCGCGGGGGAGGGCTCTCCTGTGGTCCTTCCCAAGCCTCCGCCGGCATTTTCCCCCAGCTGACCGGTGGGAGCTTCGGAAGGACC